CTTTCCACATCGTTTCCAAAACCCGTGTTTCCATGCCCACTGGTGTTTATATGGCCCGCACCGGCGAACTGACAGGGCGAGGGGAGCCCTGGGGAAGCGAGTCCGGGGACGGGAGGAGATCCGCGAGGCGACTGGAGAACAGGAGACTTAATGCGATTCGCGTCGGCCAGCGACGGCGAAAAGGCGCGTTCCACCTCGGGCGACTCGTCCTGGTAGGGCGCAAAGTTCATCTTGAGAAGGAGATGAGCGGAAGATGAGAGGACGAATGCCAGGAGGGAAAGTAAGGACAGACAAACGGGATGGAGTGACGGGAGACGCGCTTATCAGCCCACGCCTGAGCTACTAGTACAAAGTAGCTTTATCGCGGCGCCGCAGTTCGTCGCCTCAGGCACCTTATCACTTCCCCGCTGCAGCCATGCAGTATTCAGTATTGTGGTTACATTATTCTTTCCACCTCACCCACCTCACATAGCTTGAGTGTTGTCTTGGGTATCATCATATCATCATTGTCATTGGCTTTCGTCTCATATCCTCTCGTAGTACTGTACATGGAAAACCGTCTGTTCATGCCCGCCTCTACGCCCTGCCGCGCCCCCGCGCAATCCCTGTGCCCCGCGCGATCCCACTGACCGGTCTACGCGTTGTGGAGGTCGTCGATGGTTTGGATGTTGAAGATGAGGTAGTCCTGGTAGTGCTGGAGCTTGTCCCTGAGTACGAGGTGCTTGGAGTCCTTCCCAGGCCGCTACGCACCACCCGTCCACGAGTGGTCGTTCCACGCGTCGTGCGGGAGCCCGCGGCCAGCGCTCTCTTTCGCTGATCCTCTTCAGCCTTCCGGGCAGCAGCTTCCCTTTGCTGCTGGAGTTCCCGTTCACGTCTCTCTGCGGCCTGTTGCCGGAGGAGTTCTTCGTTTTCCATGTCGGCCACATCTTGAACGGCGCCTTGCCAATTAGGATTGAGAATTAACCGCTGGTTGTGTTCGGTCTGGGAGAGGATACGCGTCCAAGTGTTGAGCAATGTAGAAGCGGAATCTATGGTGCGCGAGACAGTCTACGGATTATCGTCATCACCGGTTAGCAATTGCAATTGTACAGAGTCGGTGGCGATCAGTTAGACTTGAACCTACACCCATGTTCTCCTTAGCACAATCCAGGCTTCCTAGCAGCCCCTCAATGACCTGGTTGATCTTGCGGACGCTCTCTAATTCACTGCGCAACGCGGCTTCCCGCGCCTCCTGGCGATCAAACAGAGTTTCCCCTGCATCATGGGTGATTGTGGGTTCTGGCGACATGCTCTCTTCCTTCACAGCTCGCTGATGTAGTATTTTATTTCCGCGTTTAGAGGGGGAATCCCAAAGGTCATCAGAGTCATCATCAGACAGCTGAAGCCTGTCCATTTCCTCTGCGGTGCTGCGGTGCATCATTGTTTAGGCGGAGTAGATTGAATGGGTGGTGGTGGTGGTGGTCAATGGCGATGGTAAGGGGGAGACGTGGTTGTGGAAACAATGATTGTTTTGTTTGATAAAGGAAACAAAGGTACAAAATCGTAGTAGTGAATTATTGCACGAGCTGGCGGAGGGGAAGGGAAAAGAAACAACCACCAATGAAGAAAGGAAGAATGCCGATCGACAGCTAAATATCGTGGGGCAGTCTCAGCCAGTCGTTGGGATGGGAGAGTATAATAGCCCGACTATGGAAATAGTCTAGTCGATACCCAAGCAATTGGTTAGTCGTTAAAGCCTAAACGAAGCGGAAGAAGGCGTCGAAAAAGGTGTGGCTGGGACGCGACAGAAGCACCACCAGCGGGCCAAACATTCCAGATCGCGGGCACCAGCCATCCACTCTGAACCTCACCTCGTCTCTTCTTCCCTCCCTTTCCCCAGTCACTAACTACCACCTTCTCTCCCTCACATCCACATTTACATCCACTCTTACTACCACTACTCCTCCTCTCTTTGTTTACGGCTACTACCGTTCCATTGGTCTCGCTCCCTTGGATCTGCTCTTTGATAGTGACACGCCCATCGATATTGCGCGCCCTGTTACCCTTGGTTTACACGGTCGGCTTTTGGCGTTTTCCTCCCTTTTATCGCCCTTAAACCTGTCACGGCCTGATTCTCGTCACCCACCACCCTTATATATCTCAATTGTTTTGGATTCGCGTCTATCGATTTAGCTGGGTATTATCGTGAATTTGAAATTGGGGCTATCGAGCTTGTCACAGTCACACTGGACCTGTATTAGCCCGTGTTCGGCATCTTATTCACAATGGCCACAACACCACCACCGCCCTCCACGCTACGAATCCCACCTACTCCGCGACTTGGAGCTAAATACGATGATTATGAGCCATATTCGACACGATACTCAGCCAGGCTAGCGAGCCAACGCGCTGCCAGAGACAGAGAGTCTCGAACCACTCCCCCGCCTAGCTTCCCGAGCTCGAAGACTGCGAACAAGTACGACATGAATGAATCCGACACTCTGTCCCCTCCTGGCTCAGTCCAAACCTCGCCCCGGAAGCTCAAGTCGGCCCGGGCTACTGGCTTGTTCGCGACACATTCACTTGAAGGCCCCTCCGGCACAAATGACTCCGATCCCTTCGGCGCAGGACCTTCCTCTCTCCGTCATCAATCGCGATCACTTCGACCGACTATGACCGAAGGAATGCTTCCCACTCCTGCCAAGACGCCTCGCAAGAAGGCTGTCGCGGATGTTGGAAACACCGCACGAGTGCTGTTTCCCCCTCCTAGTGCCAGGAAGAAGACGAAGAAACACACGGGCTTTTCATTGGATAGTTTTTGCGAAGACGACACACAGGGTGGCTCAGAGATTCAGATTTACACTGACTCGCGCGATCGCATCCCGGAAGTCGACAAAAGCGAAGATAATCCGTTCTACAACAAACCTACGGCCAGCAACACAACTACTCGTGCTTCCAGACGCAAAGAGACCCGCCGCGACAAGGAGATAGACGACTCGCTTAATCGTGAGGATGGCATGCTTTACGTTTTGTAAGTTCCACGGTTTTTCCTATTTTACCTTGTCTTGTGTTCTAACATATTCCGCAGTCGAGGCAAGAAAATGTTTCGCAAGTTCACGGATGATGCTGAGAGCGACCTTGATGATGACGATGATGACTTGGGCTTGCTGGCAGCCCGTCCAGACCTGATCGACTCATCTATCGACACTGTTCGTCCACTCACTCGCTCGTCAATCAAGCCTCGCGTGCTCTTCCCTACCGCGAAGTCTCAGACCCCTCAAGAATCTCGTTCGAGCGATGTCGATGAGGAGGCGGCCACTGATATTGAGGACCATCTACTTCACGATGAGGTCGAGGAGGATGAAAATCCTACAGTTGACGTGGAGATGCAGCAGCGGCCTGTCACTCCTCCCCCGCAATCCACTGTTGCAACTCCGCCGTCCCCCGGGGCTACGATGCGGTCACTGCGTTCGCGATCCAAGCGAGATGGTCCCGAGCATAGCGAGACACCCACGGCCTCCGAAACCAAGAAAAAGCGCGTCAGTCCGTTTGACGGCTGGCTCCGCAAAAAGACAGCTCCTGCTCTGACAGGGACCAAAGCCAAGAAGCGAGATGCCGAAGCCGCTGGCAGCCCTGGTGGCCCAGCTCCCAAGAAGACCCGAGGCAACAAAGCGACTGCGTCGTGAGCATGATCTTGTCCGCCTATATGCAAGGCTACCAGTGGAGCCCTGAAGCCGTCGGAAGCAGAGTCTTCCTTCATCTTACCGTCACGGATCCTACCGCAAAAAGAAACGCAAATCTTGACGAGTGTCCTTGTTTTCAGCGTTCTTCTATCTTCTCGTTCGATATTCACTGGCGTCCTTGACTTATAGGTCGACTATACTAGGATTTTTTTAATGTGTCCGGCTGTCCTCAATTCAGTTTCCGTTTGTTTGATATCAGCTACTGAAGCACCATCATCTTTTGTCTTGAACATAACAATGACTCCGAGTGATCAGTCGGAGAAAGGGAACAGGCGCGATATGATGGGCTAAATGGGACGGACGGATAGGTAAATGGGCTGGACTGGCACATGGGATGGAGTTTTGTGTGTTCTTTTCTTTTCTCTTCCCCTCTTATTCCTGCTTCTTTCAATGCTTCTTATTCTCATCTTGCCGGCGTGTTCTCTGCTTCCTTCAACTGCTTATGTCTGTCTTTGTGACTTGCTCGTCTTGAGCTCCCCGGCCTTTCTACTTAGCTTAGTTAGCTAGCTCGAGAGTTTTCTCTCCTACAATCAACTTAGATACCAATCAATGAACATGAAAGTGTGATGTCAGCTTTCCCATACGACCTTCTTCCTTTGATCATAAACATATATACCTAAGACCAATTACATCATACCATCTCCTATTAAGCTCTTTACCCTTTACCTACAAGGATTCCTCCATGCCAGCAAGAGACAGCAGTATTGTAGTCCTCACTTGTAAACAAACGATCAATTGTTCAAAGCAGGCTACCAGTATTTTCATTTCTCAAAAAGAAAAGCTAAGAATGGGTACTTTGCTAATAATACAACTTATCTCCCAAATAACCCGCAAGACAGCGTCGGGAAGATGAACGAAACGGGGTACTCGTACAAAGAATAAATAGAGAAAGACAAGCGTGCTCAAAACGTCATAAGTCAGTTAGTCGTTCATTGGAAGTCAAGGCAAATTAGAAAAGAAATCTCGTTCATTCATTCATTCTCTTGTTCGAGTAAGGGGAAATGAAGGGGACTATTCCAGTGGATACCAAGACGGTGTATCAATTCTGTTGCTGTTCATGTTTCTGTTGCTAAGTGGAATGAAAGTGGTAAGTTGGTGTCAAACAAAACGAGTCGACTATGTTCTCTGTTGTTTATGTTTATTCGTGCTAGCGAGTGAGTTGCGCTGATGGTGAGTGACACTGAATGACTGATATTTCATTGGGATATTCGCCGTAGAATGACGGGGTCAACTGCGTTGCAGGTAACGAAGGGTATCTATATTTGTTTTTTCATAACACTGGAAAGGGGTTGCTTTTTTTCTTTAGATGATGTCTAGTTCATCGTCGTCGTCATCATCATAGTTCGTCGGCACCATGTCGGGCTTTCCTCCTAGACTGTCTCTTCCGGCCTCCTTGATGCCATGAGAAGTGATGAACCGGGTCTTCTTGACACCGCTGCCGTGGGGTCTGTCACCGTCATGAGCGCGTTTCAATGGGCTCAGCTTCACGCTGTCTGCTTTCCTGAAGTTCGAGATGCCCAGATTTGTGGTGGAAAACGCATCTAAGTTGTTCTTTGCCTGCTCGGGACGGGTTGATTGGACATTGTCGTTATCTCGAGATCGAAGGTATTCAGCACCAACACCTCCAGTACGGGAGATCAGCTTGTCTGCGATGTCGCGTTCGCGTTGCTTCTCCGCGAGCCGTCTGCGGAAGCGCTCCTCTTTGCTTTCCATGCCACGGCCCATCATCCCCGCAGCGATGAATGGGTCGTCATGATCTGCATCGATTAGGGCTGCGGCAGATTGACCAGACGGGTGAGGGTGAAAGGAGGAACCGCCGCCCCTGGTTTTTGGAGCTGGCGCAACGTAGTATGATGATTGTGATTGGTAGTCGTATCTTGCGCCGTTTGGCTTCAGTCCATTTTGGGGACGACCTTTCTTGTCACCGCCGTAGAAACCGGTTCGAGACCCTGACCGGCCGCCAGGACCATACATGCCTGTGCCGCCGTTTACTCCCATTCGACCTGCTTGTGTTCGACGGACCTGTAGGTCGACATGGAAGTCGCAGAATTCTGTCTTCCGGCCATCAACCCAAGAGTGGCAGGTCTTGCCGTCCTTCCTGACGGCCTTGCAGAATCCAATGTCTTGCGCATAGCCGACCTCAAGGATCTTGTCATCAGAGGAGGAAATGGCGAGACTGAACCTGTTGGTGTCGGTCTTGTTCTTTGGTGGTGGCATTATTGTAGGATTTAGAATGGCAATGAGTATCCCTTCGGAGATTCGGTAGTATCGTGGGAAGGCAGTATCGAATAGGAAGAGATCAATCGTCCACTTCAGATCCGTCAGAGAGATGACCATGTATTGGTTGGTATTGTTCGTTCCATCGTCGAATGGGTCGACTTCCTTCTTAGTAGCGTTGGCCGGTTGCTTTATTTGCCTAGGCTCTGATTTCGATGCTACTATACCGAACACAACGTAGTCTGTGTCGATATCCTCCGGCAGTTCAAAGTCAGGCGCCTTCACTGTGCGTAGCAGATCAGGGATTCGGAGAGCTTTCTTGTCTTCCAGGGTTCGAGACAAGAACGAATGGGGTAAGATGCGGTTGGACAAGTGCAATGAAGAGAAGGCTTCAAACTTCGAGGAGTCCCCACTTTTCTCGCCTTGAGAATCATCGGTTGCACTATTTTGAGAGCTGGCAGGTACCTCAGACTCAGACTTGTGGTTCCGTCGGTGAAAATATGGCAGTGACTCCTTCGCATCAGCCACACCATCATCAGATCTCTGTACGCTAGACGTGGTCTGGCTCCGGCCCCTTTTCAGCGACGGCTTGAGATTATATGACCGGAGGACATCTTCTCGACTGAAGCTTTCGGCCCGTCGCCTCCTCGTTGGCGAACCTGGAACGTCCTTCCTTGACTCGGCAGCTGCTTTGAAGGCCTCCACTTCTGCCTTGTCGATCTGGAAGGCTGAGCTTCGATTCGCCTGAATTTTCTCTATTCGTGCTGCTCGTTCTCTCCGAGACGCATCGGCAGACCGGCTCTCAGCCATACGTTCACTGAAGCTTTTTGGACGGCTGCGCTCCCCACCCACGGTTATTGCTTGCAGAAGACTGCCAGATCGAGAGACTAAACCTTCTCGCGTTCCGGGCCTACTTGCTGGCGGGTTAGCCCCTCGTGAGCTGGGTGGACGCTTCAGCGACACATCCCTACTTCTGAGACCTTTGTCAATGCCTAACAAATACCTCCGCGGGGACACAGGATCTGTGGGAGGAGCAGCACGTCTCGTCGGCGACAGCGGTACCTGGACATCATCAATATGAGCTGTGCTATCCGTCCCATGGCCATTATTTCTTGTCCCTATCGGCTCATCCTGTCCCTGGAAAGAGCCAATTGCTGACGCAGGTCTAGAGAAAGTTTCCCCGCCATGCTTATCCGGTCCAGGTGTCCCCGTTTTCGTGCGGCTTTTCTGAAGTTGCTTGAGCTTGAGACGCGCCTCAATGGCTGCAAGCTTCAACTGTAGTGTTTCCTCATCCTCATCATCTTCGCCCTCGTCTACCCCGTCGCTGAGAAGTTGTGACGCCTTGGATCGTAAATCGGGAGTAGTGACAGAGTGTTTCAAAGGCGAACCCAGGTGCTCGCGACGTCGCTGCATGTCTTCATACCTCTTGCGACCATTCGGAGTACTCAAGAGAGCATCCCGAGGGGACTTTGGTGGCCACGAGATCTCGGCCACTGCAACAGCGGCGCGTCAGCGATTCTATGTGCACGGAAATAAGATCGAGCTGAACAGAAACACAAGGCACTCACTCACTGCTTGTCATCGCATCCACGGTATTAGTCCTGGTTTAGTTTCGGTAGAAGAAAAATGCAGCACTTGAATTCCGATCCCGCTTATCGTCTTCTATCTATCGTGCTACCTTTCCTGCCATATTCACTCAACGAAGGGATGCGGGGAATGGCGTCGTTCGAAACCTGGGGCTCTGGGGATCGGAAGACAGGAGCAGCAAAATAACTCAGCCACCTGACGGATTCAAGTCTCTGACGAAGAAAGAAAGGGGGAGCAGGAACCGCAGGCCTGCATGAAATGAAACGCAAGGGAATGAAAGTGAGCTGCAACCAATCCGCCTTTAGTTTCCTTTCTCGCCCGCGGCCTGAGGCCCATGCATGCCTGCCCGCTGACTTGTGTCGCAACGGCCTCTGATTGGCTAGCGCGTGTCGCGTTGAACCAGTGAAAAAGACGCGTTTCAATTACCATTATTACTTGCCTTTCCCCTTCGGACTATCCGTCAATATTTCCACTTCGCTATCTTCAGTTCCACTTTCATCCCCGTTTGCCAATTGCTCCTAATGAACTGCCAATAACACCTATCCACCTCATATAGCCTCTCATATACGGAGTACTTCTCACGTATTCTATCATCACAATGCGAACCCGCTCCAGCGCTCCATCGGAGCAACCCCAATCTCCTCCATCCACCTCCGATGACCAAACAACAGCAGCATCTACATCAGCTCTCCCAGCGCAATCCAAACCCCAGAAAACCTTCATCCTCCCCTCCACCGCCGGCGCCGACGCCCGCTTCCTCACCCTTCCCAACCCGCGAACCGCCTCGCCAACCCGCTACTTCTTCGACCCCAAACTAGGCGTATACGAATTCACCGTCCTCTCATCCCCTCCCACCACACCGCGAAGCACCCTTCTCGTGCGCAACCCCGATCCCACCTCATCATCTACATCCCAACCGCCAGCGCACATCTCCAAGAAAGCCGAACTCCTCCTTGCCACCCCCATCGACATCCTCTTCTTCCTCATTCCCATCCTCACCGCAAACACCAAACAAAACAACCTCTTCCAACCCCTAGACGACATCATCGACTCGCTGGACGAGGAGCTCCTCCCACCTCACCTCCGCCATGTACTCTACGACGAAACCTTCCGCGGGACACTGCACGCCCGCGCCGCTGCGATAAGCGACTCCGTTGAAGCTGGCGACGAGAAGATGTTCCGGTTTAACGAGACGAAACTCCTCCAGGAACTTGTCGCCAAGGCGGATAGAATGGTTAGCGTGGGGCTGCCTCCGAGTCTTGAGGAGAGATTTGTGAGACAGGCGCTGGCGACGCCGCTGATGGCGGTGAAAAGAGATGATGTGGTGGCTACGGGGGAGAATAAGGAGAATGAGGGCGAAGATGGCAAAGAGGAGGGGGAGAAGACCACCGCGGATAATGAAGATGCAAAGGAGCACCTCCCCGAAGGCTTGAAAGCTCCTGACGGCGTAGCAAACCTCCTCCGGATATCCACAGCGCTGGCATTCATAAAAGAGTGCTATTTATCCAGAGAGATGAGTGCGCGGATAGATGAGTTACTAGCTGCGCCGGAGAGTCCGAAGGATTTTAAGCCGATGCAGGATCATTTGGACCTTGTGGCGAAGCTGAGGGCGGAGGCGCTGGCGACGAGATCGCTGGGGGATTTCTCGCGGAAGAGGAGTGTTGAAGATCAGGAGGCTGCGGAGTCGAGGGCGGAGAAGAAGCGGAGGATGGAGGAAGAAGAGAAGAAGAAGAAGGCGAATGAGTCGAGGGGGGTCCGGGATCTCAAAAAGGTTAATACGACGGGAATGAAGAAGATGAGTGATTTCTTTGGAAAGGCGGCTGCGAAGAAGAAGACTTGAGAGTCGATGGGTTTTGGATATTGTTGTGATCACATCTCGGAATCTTAGAGACGCCTTGGGTCTATGCGGGTCTGTATTCCAGCGGGATGGATAGAATCCCCGGGGGTTGTTCCGTTACTCTACTCGTGACTTGGGCGCGGTAACCCTGGCCTCCTGGCTGCGATGCATCGAGCGACTGGGGCAGAAATTGGCAGACAAGTCATCACTGCCTTCCGCCGCTTCTAAGCAGGAAACATCCCAAAAAGATAGACCCGTCGCGAAGATGATCCCATTTGTACATATACTCTCACACGATATACACAAGCGCTTGGATTTCCAATGGGACACAGAATTGTCGCGATTGGGTTTGCAATCTGCAAGGGAAACAAGAACCAACGCTGAAAGATCCAAGGTCAAGATGCCAACCATATGACGCACTACTTTGAAAAGAGAATACTACACCACCTCTAAACCTCAACCTGGGCAATAGCTGCGCCCGTGACCCTGTAGATTACATTAGTATCATTGCACAAGTGGGAGAAGAACCTAGGGTAGAGACATACATGAACGATCCGTTAGAGGGCTTGCTGATGACCATGGCTTCAGCCAACTTCTCCTCGCTGATATCCGGGAAGTGCTTCAGGTAGTATTCTTCCTTCAAGGCCTTGGTAACAGCCTCGACCTTAGACTGAGGCAACATGTGGACGGTGCAACCGCCCCATCCGGCACCAGTCAGTCGGCTACCCAGGGTTCCGGCCCGACGGGCGATGTCGCAGATCTCATCCACCTCCGGTGCACTGCACTCGTATTGGGTGCGGCAAGAAGCCTGGGACTCGTTCAAGAGTTGACCCAGATACTGGATGCGTCTTTCATCGAGGGTGCTCGCCTTAGCGAGGCATGCCTTGAAGTCCAGGACCCGACGGGCCTCGGTGAAGCAGTGCAGGGCGCGTTGACGGAGGAGGAAACGTTCTGCCTGGACAGGGAAGGAAGAGAGGTACTTGGCTTCGAGCTCGGGGACTGTGATACCGAGGAGCTTGGCGATCTCCTCGCGGGTGTATCCTTCCTCTTGTGTCAGAAGCTCCAGAGTGCTCTGGATGACGGAGTCGATCTGGTACTCCAGGGGATCGCCGAGACGGCCCTCTTTGCGCATCAGCTCGTTGTGGAAGTTACGGAGACTGAACCCGAGGGAGCTGTTGTCCTTGGGGAGGGTCAAGCCGTTGCGGGCAGCCAGGACCACGGCGGCAAGCGTGCACTCAGCGACGCGAAGGTTGTAGTGACGGGGAGCGGTCTCGGCCTTGTTGGAGGTGACAAAGCTCTGGGCCATAAGGAAGGTGATTTCCTCGTCTGCCTTAGGGATGGGGACGTGCTGAACGGAGAAGTTGGGGAAGAATTGGGTATACAGCAGGTATCCTCGGCGAGAGAAGATGGAGGCAGCTTGGTCCATTCTAGGTAAGCAGTAGAGTTAGGGCACTGAACGACAGAGTGAAGTGGTCAGGTGCAAATTACCCTCCGGAGTAAACGCCGACTGCGCGCTCAGACACTACTGCCAAATCAAGAAGATCCTGCTTCGAGACATTATGGTTGTTGGCCTTCATAACGGCCAAGGCACTGGCACACACGAAAGCCGCACTGCTGGAAATACCCCCACCCGGAGGCACATTACCGTCCAGGAGGACCTCCATACTAGCGGGCACAAAAGAGCCGTCTGCATTCTGCTTGCGCAAGAACTTCAGGGCGCCCAGGAGTCCCGCCTTGAAGTAGTTAACCCACTCATGCTTTTTAGGGTCAATTTCAATGTCCGTGTCACGGGGCACGACGAACTCGCGGGCAGGGAACTTCTCCGGGTTGACATTGGCGATCTTTACAACGGAGTCGGAGCCAGTCGCAGGGACGACCTTTACAGCAATAATCACGTCCACGCTTACTGCCGTCGGAAGGACATCATACAGGTTGTAGTCGATGTGCTCACCGATGATGTTCACGCGACCGGGACTGCGGGCCACGAAATCGGGACGGTAGCTGTAAACCTTGTTGAACTGAGAGACCAGATTGTTGAAACGGGACTGATGGTGAGGTGCAACCGAAGTGACGGAGGCATCGTCGGTTGCGTAGACCTCAGCGATGGATTCCGTCTGGGGGACGAGTTCCTGCGGGGTTGCCATGGCGGGGTAAAAATGTGAGGAAAAAGAAAAGTGGCAGATCACACGAGGGGAGCGGGATATGGGAAAAGATGAGAACGAGGCAAGGAAAAAGAAAAACGAAGAGGGGAAAGGGAACAGCAGAAAGTAAGACAAATAGATTTAAAATCGGCTAAAACGTCAGCGTTCCTGAATCGCCAGGATAGGAGGGAAAAATTCGAGCTGGAGGTGCTCCGCAGAGACCCTGATCGGTTCCGGATTGAGCATAACAGGCTGGTCACGGGCGGGATAGTCTGGAGGTGTGATTGCTTGAGGGCCGGGGAAAGAGTGGAGTTTGCCCGGAAATGACACTCGCTCGCTGGACGGCTCTCCGACTCGCTTCTCCAGTCCTTTTCAACCGATTCCCCGTGTGTTTCGGCTGATTCGGCATGGGCCCCTGGGGGACCCCCAGTTCGGTCGGGATGTCACTCTCGTGATGTGTCGACGGCGAGCCGTATCTTCGAAGTCCGGTAAATTGTTATCTCTCATCTATCTCAGTTTCATTGCCTCATCGGCAATGGATTCGACAGGTACCGGCCAATTGATACCGTGCAAGGCATCCTCTTCCCAATAATCCCGCAGGGCACCCAATTTAGCCGAACCCAGCTGGCCTCGGCTTCTGGACGGCCGAGTGGATGCTCAACATTGCAAATCACACGGTTGTCTGTATAACAGTCCGGTCAGCCACCAGCCAACTATGAGTACTAATCAAAAGACAATATAACTAATCGATCTATACTGCTCTTAGTCAGGTCTAGGTGTCTATGCCCAGTTGACTATTGTTAGCTTAATCGCCCGATTGAGTTAAGACGCAGTGACAAGCATTGGATGGAAATTGTGGGGTACATACATCACATTCCAATCGTTATCAAGAAAGTGAAGAAATTATATCTTGATACACAATCTCCTTTCCAGAAAAGAAACGGTTGCTGTTCGGTATATGAGTTCATCCCGCAACTTTCTGGAGTTACTTCACAACAAGGTCGGGTGCTCCCGATCTCGGAAGGGCTCGTTGCAGTAAACCTCTGCGCCTACTTCTCAACTTGGGAAGGGTCAAAAGTGCCGCGGAGGATGTCTCATGCGCAACTCATGTGAAGCGAGAGAGCATTATATCCTCTTTGGTTCTTACCTTATGCGGAAGGACTGACTACACCATTCTGGCCACAGCGGCTCATTTTTTCAGGTCACGAGCACATAAACCTGTACTCCGTCTGGAGTACTTTGGATGGAATACGCAAGTTCTCATTGCGACAGAAACTCTGCATATCTGACGCAAGGCCGAACAAACAGTCTGCAGGCAGCCCTGATGTATATGCTCCACTGAGCTCGGCCCAGCTTCATGAAAATAAAGGAAGTTTAAGGCCGAGGTGCCTATGTTCCTAGGATTTGGGAATTAGAGGCATTGTTCAGGAATCACTGGCCAATGTTACGAGTGAGTCATCTTCATAGTAAATAGACAGCCCCTCCACGGAGAATTACTGCACCAGTAAATAGTAGCGGGTGTAAAATCATACAACACTTGCTTTCTTTTCATGCCGGTTACCTGCATGTGATGGAGATGCATTAGCGAGCCGTATTCGGACCGGCACCCGCGGTAGGAGTATGTGTAGAAATCTCAAAAAGTCTGTGATTACCACAGATCGATGGAGGTATGGTTAGAGTGGCATTTTATAGAAGCCCTAATTACTAAATGATGTAGTCCGTGAGTTGTAATCGATTTTTATCCCTTATGTCTCTTGGTTGCTATGAGGACTAGGAGTATGTCAGCAGTAAACCGGGCTAGTTGATTACAGGATCGTATAGCAGTTGGAACCTTGACACAAAAGGCCGCACCATGACAATTAATAGCAAAGAAATATACGTCGTTGTGCAACGTTAGTTTCCATCATCAACATCCCTCGCCTGTATTATTGCAATTTTGCAAGGCGTTGCTCTGGTAAAGACCAGGACGAAACGAGGGTCTTGCATCCCAATCAGGTGACCGCTTTCGCGTCCAGAAGGCCGATGATCGGAGCAGTGGAGTATCCGTAGCCAATGGGAAGACCGAGATTATTCGACTCCAACGGCGCTAGACCAGGACAGGCTAGAATGCAACCATAACTGTCCCCGAAGTCTGAGTCTTCGCTCCTGCCTTAAGGAACGGATCTCTTACTCACACTTCCTGGTCCCATTCTTTTTCCCCGTTGTGAGCACTCCCCTTTCTCTGTTCCCCAGGCCTGGCAGTCATCCGCCATCAAGATGATGCCTATGAGACCTTCTAAAAGCGCCATGCGCGCTCTGCATTATCAGAGGTATATCGCCTCCGGCAGAATGACTTTTACCACTGCTTCCGTTGCTGCGACCGCGCCCCACCGCTTTTCAGCTCAGAAGAGATTCCAGAGCACCGCAACTGCCCCGGCTGAGTGAGTATTATCTACAATTAGCATCCAGATAGCTACTGGGCTGTCAATGACTGTTGCTAACATGTCTGTGAATTTCCAGAGGCACAAGACCTGTCCCCAGCCCTGCCTTCAACCAGGAACCTCACCGCAATGAGGTCTCGCCACTGCAAAATCGCCAGGTCCCCGAACTGGACGACTCGTATGCAGTCCCTTCAACAACATAGATGACTCATGGGAGTAGAGCTGACCTGGTTCTTGGAGCGTAAACAGTTTTGTCGGACTCAGTGGAGGAGAGATCTTTCATGAGATGATGCTGCGTCTTGGCGTCAAGCATGTCTGTGAGTCACGCGTCTTTTTTCTCGGTTTCCCGATGTTCTTCAAGACCGTAAGATTGACCCACTACTTTTAGTTGGTTACCCTGGAGGTGCCATTCTTCCCGTCTTCGATGCTATTTACAACTCCAAACACTTCGACTTCGTTCTTCCGAGACATGAACAGGGCGCCGGACACATGGCCGAAGGCTACGCCCGTGCCTCTGGAAAGCCCGGTGTCGTCCTTGTCACCTCCGGCCCTGGAGCCACCAACGTTATCACCCCCATGCAGGATGCCCTCTCGGACGGTACCCCCATGGTCGTCTTCTGCGGTCAGGTGCCTACCAGCCTGATCGGTACCGATTCTTTCCAGGAAGCCGATGTTATCGGTATCTCTCGCGCTTGCACCAAGTGGAACGTCATGGTCAAGTCCGTCGCTGAACTCCCCCGTCGCATCCAGGAGGCCTTCGAAATCGCCACCAGCGGCCGCCCCGGACCTGTCCTCGTCGATCTGCCCAAGGATATTACCGCCGGTATTCTCCGTAAACCCATCCCCATGAACAGCACCCTGCCCTCTCTCCCCAGCGCTGCGACCATGGCCGCCCGCGAACTGAGCATGCAGCAGCTGCAGGGTACCATCAACCGTGTGGCCCGCCTCGTGAACGTTTCCAAGAAGCCCATCCTGTATGTGGGTCAGGGTCTCCTTGCTCGCCCTGAAGGACCCCAGATCTTGAAGGAGCTGGCCGACAAGGCTTGCATTCCGGTCACCACCACTCTCCAGGGTCTGGGTGGGTTCGACGAAACGGACCCCAAGGCCCTGCACATGCTGGGAATGCACGGATCTGCCTATGCCAACATGGCCATGCAGGAGGCTGATCTCATCATCGCTATCGGTGCTCGCTTCGATGACCGTGTGACTGGTAACATCTCCAAGTTTGCCCCCCAGGCCAAGCTTGCTGCCTCGGAGAACCGTGGTGGTATCGTCCACTTTGAAATCATGCCCAAGAACATCAACAAGGTTGTCCAGGCCAACGAGGCTGTTGAGGGTGACTGTGCTGAGAACATCCGTCTCCTCCTGCCCCACGTCGAGCCCGTTGCTGAGCGCAAGGAGTGGTTCGAGCAGATCAACGACTGGAAGGCTCGCTTCCCCTTCTCCCTTTATGAGAAGCAGACTGCTGAAGGACCCATCAAGCCCCAGGCTGTGATTGAGAAGCTCAGCGATCTCACCGCTCACATGAAGGACCGCACTGTCATCACTACTGGTGTCGGTCAGCATCAGATGTGGGCTGCTCAGCACTTCCGCTGGCGCCACCCCCGTACCATGATCACCTCTGGTGGTCTTGGAACTATGGGATACGGTCTCCCCGCTGCCATTGGTGCCAAGGTTGCCCGCCCTGACGCTCTTGTCGTTGATATCGATGGTGATGCCTCGTTCAACATGACCCTGACTGAGCTCACCACTGCTGCTCAGTTCAACATTGGTGTGAAGGTTCTCCTCCTGAACAACGAGGAACAGGGTATGGTGACGCAATGGCAGAACCTGTTCTACGAGGACCGGTACTCGCACACTCACCAGAAGAACCCCGACTTCGTTCCCATGGCCCAGTCCATGGGTGTTGCTGCCGACCGCTGCACCAAGCCCTCGGAGGTTGAGGCGAAGCTCAAGTGGCTGATCGAGCAGGACGGCCCTGCCCTTCTGGAAGTGTTTACTGATCGCAAGGTGCCTGTGCTCCCCATGGTGCCCGCTGGCTGTGCCCTGCACGAGTTCCTTGTCTATGACGAAGGTATGCACTATAATTCTTTTTCTGATTGGGTGAATGAATGCTAATATAATTTTTCGCAATACAGCCAAGGAGAAGGAGCGCAAGGCTCTGATGAAGAAGCGGAAAGTTCCCGGTTTCTAAGTGATGCCGCGGACGCTAGCGATGAGTTGCCATGCCTGTTATTTGAAAGCTGCAAAAGTGCCCACCCATTTCTGATCTCTTGATATCCATGGCGTTTCTGGCAGGTTCTAAAACGCTAGCGGGTGCCGGTCTGCGCCCCGGAGACAAGCTGCAGCGGTCAACTCCCGACGAGAGAGCCCTGGACTAGCATGCTGCAGGACCGCGAAGAGCATTCTATAATGGCTCCACTCAGTCCTGTACAGCGGTCCTGGGCTGAAATTGACCTCTAGCTGGGCTTGGACCTCCTTATCTTTTTTTTTTTTTTCTTTTTCTCCCTCCATTTTCACCGTTTGCATTATGGCTTGCGCGCAAAAGTTGCCTCGAATGTTGTGGGAAATCCAGCTGTATATAATCCTTATGTTGCTGTAATCTTTTGTATGACCTTGGAGAAATACTATCATGAGGCATTGAAAAGGGAGGAGTGTTCCTGAATGACGCGATGATTAGTGCTGACTGGAGCAGCTACGTAGAGGATGCTAATTTCACTAGTGAGCAGTTAGTCTATGGAAAAGTCATCAAGATTGCTGCATCCGCCATGATGGCGCAAAGTGAGGTGATTGACTAGGCATCACGTGATAGCCGAGCAATTGGGGTCCGCGGAATGCGCGCCTTTATGTTTCGCCGCCGAACAGCCGCGGTTCACATCCGAAGGTCACTAGCGGGGGGCTGGGAAGTGGGAAAAGTAGTACGGAGTAAGTAACAGTAGTAGTCTTGTCCTTCTTCCAGCTGGTACTAAGAGTCTGGGTCCGACTGAGACACCGTCTGACTTGCTGACTGAGATATTTGCTTCTGCTACTGCTGCTTCTGCTGGGGCAGAGTGCAGATGTTGGAGCTGCCTAATAGGGCTGTGACTCTCAACTCTCTCTCCCCTCCGTTCTCGCCTCCAAGTTCTCTCTCTTTCTCTCTCTCTCTCACCGTCTGGTGACTGACCCAACTTGACTAACCTCCCTCTCCACACATGATGCAGTGCTTGTTTCCGTAATTCCCCGTCCACTCCTCTACTACTGTTGTATCCACCCCCTCTTGCGTCTCCCACATCATGGCTTCCCTCCCAGGTTATTCGGCCTCTAGTCGGCCACAATCATCTGATAATAATACTACCTCCACTACTCAACAGAACAGCGTATCCACGAATATAACCAGCAGCGCTTCATCAACGGAATCATTTGAAACTAGCGATACCGTCCTGCTCAACGGCACCTCGGATACCGCCACCGCCGGTGGCTCCCCGACGAGTCCGACCCTCGCCGATGCGTCTGGTGAGGAACCACGCAGATGTTGGATTTGCTATACAGATGAGACCGAGGACTCTCCCCTCAATTCACAATGGCGCTCGCCATGTCCTTGCGCCTTGACCGCCCACGAAGCTTGCCTGCTCGACTGGTTGGCGGATCTCGAGAATCCCCGATCGCGGAGGCGCAACGGCCATGACGCAAAGATGCTGTGTCCGCAATGCAAGACTGAAATTATCGTTTCCCGTCCCCGAAGCTATATTGTGGATGTAGTGCGACTGGTTGAACGCCTCGCGGGTCGGATGGTTCTTCCAGGAATGGTATTTACGTTGGGGGCAACCGTGTGGGCGGGGTGCTGTGCGCACGGAGTATACTCGATGTATTTTGTCTTTGGGACAGACGAGGCTCGCCAGATCTTGGAGGAAACGGCAGATGGGGCATGGAATTCGGGGCTTAACCTGGGCTTGCCCCTCATCCCGCTCGTGTTGATCTTCTCGCGCACTCGGTATGCAGATGGTCTTCTCCCCGCCATCCCCGTGATGTTCTTTGCCACACATCAACCCGGACAGGAGCTGGAGTTGGATCTCTGGCCGCCCAGTGCGGCAGTCACGTTTGCCGCTCTTCCGTATCTGAAAAGCTTTTACGGCAGTATCTACGAGAGAATGTTCGGCAAGTTGGAGCGGAGGTGGATTGCGGAAGTACAACCGCGCCAGTCGGATGTCAATGAGTTTGATGATAATGCGCCGCCCGAACATCCCGAGCCAGACCCACCTAATGATGACAACGGTGTTCTGATGGAGATCGATTTGGAGCTACGCATGGGCAACGAAGATGGGCCGCAGGGCTTGTTCGGCTTTAATGGAGGAAATGCGCAGGGTGGACAAGGGCAGAACCAGGGTGGAAACGGCCAACCCTTGGGCTTGGGACGACGGGATGAGCTGGTAGCCGACACAAGCAGTCTGGCGGATATCATCCTCGGAGCACTTGCGTTTCCCGCCATATCTGCGTCGATGGGCGGGCTGTTGAAGTACCTCTTGCCAACTTCATGGACGACGCCATCTACTCTGGGAAAGGTCCGACCAGGACTGCTGCAGACCCGCTGGGGCCGGAGCGTAGTTGGCGGATGTGCGTTTGTGCTATTGAAGGATGCGTTGGTTTTATACTGTCGGTGGAAATTGGCGCAGACACACCGACGCCGCAAGGTGCTGAACTACGATCGTTCGAAGAAGCGGGTCGGGAAGGCTGGTAGTTGATAGCTGGGGAAGTATCAGTTTGGGGAGAAGCGATGGATGCATTTCTGGCGTTTAGGCTGATGGATTGAGATACACTCTTTGCTGGTTCTTTTTTTACCTCCTTGCAATTGATGACGAGCGATGAGCTTGGGCAGATGCCTTAGGTAAAAGTGTGAATACGTACCATTTCAATATTTTCTATAAGTAACAGTAATTGTCAACAAGACTTTACAAATTAATCCCAGTGAGTCAATAGTATAGTAGTATAGTAGTATAGTACTACGGCGTACAAAATAAGGCAGAAAACCCGCGCTTACTTAGCGCGCGGCAGATAACCAAACCAACCGACCAACCAGCCTAACCCAGTAAGTCAACTAATCAAACTTCCGCTCCGGCGCGCAGTGTCTGTCTTCCGAACATTCTCAGAAACACCACCTCCACCACCACCAAACCTCAACTCAGCACCGATCCCCCAGAGACAGAAAAAAGAAAGAGAGAGAGAGGAAACACCACCAAAATGCGCACCCTCTCCCCGGTCCTCGCCTCCCTGGCATCGGTCTTCCGCATCCCAATGACCCGCCCAACCCTCACCAGCAACACCATCACCAACACCCTCCGCCAATCCCAACTCCAGCCTCAATCCCAATTCAGCACAACCATCTCGCTCCAAAAGAGAAAAGAGTCCGGATTCCGCGGCGACCGCAGAATCAGTCCGTTCCCCCAAACCCTATCCCATCCCAATCAAACCACAGCTACTAACCGAAGTTTAATTATAAATTGAACAGCATTGATCCGCTACTTCCTCCACCACCCACTCACTCCCCGTCCCCTTCGATTCTCCCGCACTCGCTTCCTCCGCCACTGGACGATCCACCGCGCCTGGAACCTGTACCAGGGGCAGCAGCGACGGAAGCACGAGCTGGAGCTGCAGAGACAGTGGCAGGCGATGCAGGCTGCGTGTGAGGAACTGCGCACGGGTGCTGGAGACGGTGGAAAGCTGTTCCGGAAGAGTATGATCAAGACGGGTGTGTTTAGGGATTTGGTTCCTATTGAGTATGCGCGGTTGCAGACGGAGGGGCCGAGTAGGGAGGGGTGGAATCATGAGTGGAAGAGGGATTAAAGGGATTTTACGATTTTCTCCGGAGGAGGGGAATTTATGGAAGGAGACTTAAGGGGAAGGGAGGTTCTCCGAAGGAGAAGGATGGGGTGTAGGGAAGGAAGATGAGATGAGATTGGGATAGAAAATAGAGTGGATTAGTTTAGGAGGGTATGGATGGATGGATGGATGGGTTTGTGTTATATTATTGTTATGTATGTGTCTCTGTTTTGTTTGTATAATATGTTACTATATTATGGGTTGGTTCTTGGTGACTACCGCATACTGCATACTGTGTACTGTGTATCTACTGGAGAGTCTGGAGTGGTGTAGACTGGTAGGTGGATACAATTTCTCAATACAGGTATAACCGCTAGTGACAGTAAGACACATCAGAAGAATCAGAAAACAACGCAAACAAAGACGGCAACACCAAAGGAATGACTAACGAATGTCACCAAGCGTGTCCCCCCGGAGACCAAGGGTATGTCAACATGCGAAATTGATATTCGAACACAAAGAAGAGGCCCTCCCAAACGCCGCAAATGCAAGATATATCGATTCAACATCCGTCTCCTCACTTTCTCCCTTTTCTTCGAAATCCAATTCAAACTGGCTCACGCGTGGTTCGCGCGGCAACTGCAATTGCAACTGCAACATGCTCAAAAGCGCATAGCAAATGAACCCATCATGGCTGGCATGCAATATCGCTGAAATACCATCAGAGTCGGCGACGTTATCTATCGCAAAGTCGTCATTTCCCCATTATAGCACAATGCAACAGGAGCTTTTTCGCTTGTCGAACGTCAGAAGCGCGGCACGCGTGGCCGCCTCGAATACATCGTCGACGCCCTCGCCGGTTAACGAGGAACATTCGAGATACTTGCGGGCTCCGATCTGCGTTGAAATATCGCTTCCTTCTTTGGGCGTCACGAACTTTAGCGACTTCTTTCTCATCTCCTCGACGGCCAGAGGATCTTCCCGCAGATCTTTCTTCAACCCGACAAGGATGATGGGGACACCCGGACATCGTTCGTTCGCTTCTTCAATCCACTATAAGCAACCAGTCAGCGTAGTCCAACAGTGACTAGATGGTCAGACAACCTTGTGTTTGACGTTCTCGAGCGAATCGGGCGTGTCCACGGAGAACCCAATGAGGATCACATGCGCCTTGGAATAGGCGAGTGGACGCAATCGTTCGTAATCTTCCTGACCAGCAGTATCCCATAGTGCCAATTGAACCGAACGGCCATCCACTCGGCAATCCGTCACATAGTTTTCGAATACCGTCGGAACCTGATTGATAGGCGACAGTCAGATGCATGCTAGGTAGTCAGCGAAGGAGGTGATAGGTACGAACATAGTGCTACAGATCAGAAACCGGTTAGCCAATGAAACTCCATCGATCAGCGCATTGGAGAAGAGGGTTGACTTACGGTTGGAAAATAGCCCAGGGTGAAGACGCTCAGCAGACTGGTCTTCCCACAGGCACCATCCCCGATGATCACCAACTTTCTACATGCAGGTCAGCTCAGGGCCCCATTCGTCATAGCATGGATGTTGCATCGGGGGCTGGCTGCACCCCCGCACCCCTCTATACGAGCAATCCGGTCGAGTGACAGCGGGTGGGCTGATAACGGGAACCAGAAATCGGCAGTAGATAACATGATGGCCTCAGGTGGGAAACCGAACACAGGGACGACAACATTGGCGGAACATACCTTCGCATCACATTATCAGTCTGTTGTTGAGCCATTTTTTTAATTTCACAACCGGCTGGGATCTCGGATCCCTAGCAAGATGAAGCGAGAATGCACGAATGGGTCGAAACAATGCGAGGGCGCTGACGAGCCCTGGCGGAACCCGGAACGGAATAAGAATCAGGCAGCAGCAGGCAAGGCTGGCCAGAACTGCGGTCGGATAATGGCCAAGGATAAGTACGAAGAATTCGGTGGAAGCTTTGAATGTTGAATGTGTGGGAAGGAGGGGAGAAGATTGGGAATTAGTGATGAAGCCCCTCCCCCTAAAATTAAAGAATACAGGAATGAGGAGGAGGCCAGGGAAAATGGGGGGGGGATAGCTTTGCCGGGGGGGAATGAATGGATGGATGATAATCTGGGATTATTGATGGGGGAAGAAGTGGATTTGGGGCCCAGCAAAGAGTTGTCTCGTTCGTTCGGGAAGGCGGTCGAGCGTTGAGGCTGACGCTGATCCGAAAGGGAAAGAAACGAAAGAAGATTTGGGGAAAAAAACGGATAAATACGCACCTTCAATACGATTGCTCGACCGTGGTTCAGTTAGACGGGAAATAGTAACTTAAGTAATTTAACTTCACTATAACAGTACTTAATATAGAGCAGCGAGGCAGGGAGGTAGAGCGATGATGATGATGCTAATGCTGAGATGAAGGATTATTAAGATAGTAAAAGCACCATTGCGCCCTCACAATCCAGGCATCTTACTCCATATATATATACCGTCAGTACGGCCTCCCACCACGCTGACGAATGGGCACAAATAGCATCGAATGGACGCCCAGCACCGCAACCACCAGCCAATCCCACTGGCAGCTAAACGACTCCCCCATAGTAATCAAAGAGAAGGAGGGATCGGCCCAGTGATGGCCCAGCTGAAGAATCGTCACCGCACGGCCGCTTGTTACTAAGGTTAGAGATTTGTCTCAGACGTTGCAGGCTAGACGGTGGTTATTTCGCGATAGTCGCTGTTACTATAATGAGGGTGGAGAGCACGCTGGGCCAGAAAGAGAGGGGGATCACGCCGGGACCAGGGGCCATGCACTGCTTACCATTGGACCATGGGATCATTATATTTATAGCCCCCCGGATGCTTTCGCAGGGAGGATGCCGATGACTGGGCAAGTCCGGCTTCCCGTTTTTCTTTTTCACTTATTTTTTTTATTTTTCTTCAATTCCTCGTGGTGGAGGGGATGGTGGATGTTTCTTTTTGTTTATTTTTTTTTCCCTGACCCAGCCGAACCCGTTGTTGATTAAACTTCAGACACACACAAAAACACTCTCATTTGGGCTCCACTGGATACTAATTACTAACTACTTACTACTACTGCTGCTGCTGAATTCTCAACAGTTTCTTTTATCACCTTCCTTCTTGAATCAGTCCCTTGTGCCCCGTTTACCTCTGGGGGGGGAGAATGCATGAATAGTAGAATTGGAACTAGTCACGGCGCCCTAAATCCTGGCACCAGTAGTACCCCGATCCCCTTTACACACAGTACAGCCACTTCAGGGGGTGAGCTCCATCATACTATGGCTGAGCATTTAGCAGGGCTGTCGTCGTCTCCAGTCAATGCATGACATGACATCCTGCTGCATCTATCCCTGGCTCATCATGACCCGGCTGGTGTCTGCGCTTTTGCCATACCCCTAGGACATGGATAATACGAGTCATTATACCTGACACCGTGCATCTATTCTAGGTTTGAATAGACCACTCGTAGAGCTTCCCGGTTAATGGAGTTCCCAACATGATAACCGCTTCCGAGACATTGCTATTAGCGCCGCATTAAGGTACAGAAATGAGTAGAGAGTCCGAACCCCTCCGAAAATATTCACAGTAAGAGAAAAGAAAAAAGAAGAAAAAGAGAAAATTTCAAGCCCAATCAGATCTTGGCCTCGTCAATATCATAGACCAAATGCTTCTGACCAATCCCCCAAGATTCCAACCCTAATCGGTTATATAGCCCATAAGCAGCCCACGCCATGTACTCCTTCATCCGCAACCCCCACGGACTGACATCTTTTCGCATCTTTCCGTTCTTGGCAGCCAGATTGTATATCTCCGTGATGCGCGGTTTGCGGATCTCCTCGTATTTGGCAAATGCGTCTTCCAAACTCCGCTGATCATCTTTCAGTAATCGCGATAGCAGAAACACATCCTCCAATGCCATAGACACTCCCTGGCCCGCATGAGGCTGCATCGCATGCGCTGCATCCCCGAGCAGCACCGTTCGAGAAGTATACCACTTCCCGCCCAGCGGGAGCCGGAAGATGGGATAAAACCCAACAGCGTCCGTCCGATTGACCATCCCTGTCAATGCCTCCGGCCATTTACCCTTGCCTTCTCCGATGATGTTCAGAATAGTGTCCTTATATTCTGCAACCTCTTTCTGACGTCGCTCCTCCCACCCATCTCGTGCATTGCCAGATTCCGAGTGAGGGATAGGTGTTTCCCGGGAGAAGAACCAGAAGAGCTCATCCCCAGACGGAGAGCACGGCATCATTGCCAGAATACCAGTGCGAGTGAGAAAAGCGTTGGCATGTGTACTTAGCTCCTCCGGGAGCCCTGTGCAGTCAATGATGGACTGCGTTCCCGCGATACCGGAGTATTCGGGCACAATGGACGGGTCAACATGAAGTCGACGGACACTAGAGTGAAGTCCATCGCATCCGAGCAGGATATCGGCTGTATCAGTTGAACCGTCGGAAAAGGTTACGGTGACATCTGTTGTTGACTCGGTGACTGAAATAATGCGCTTGTTGTAGTGGACAGGAATTTGGTCTTTTGCAACGGCGTCAAGTAGAACACCCTGAAGGTCCTTGCGACGTATGCGCAAATATTCGAAGCCAGTTTGCCGATTTGCCCAGCCGGAAATGTCGACTTTGGCAATATCACCGTTTGGCAGCGAGTGAATTTCCATGTCGGTGACGGAGAATCCGCGGGCGACAACTTCCTCATGAAGCCCTAGTCGATGAACCAAGCGCATCCCATTTGGGAATAGACCTATAGCACCGCCCAGAGTGGTTGGTTCTGGCCGTAACTCGTATACGGTAATGGCGATGTTGTTGTTACGGTGCAGTTGGAGGGCGGCAGCGAGGCCGGCGGGGCCTGCACCGATGATGATGGCCTGATTAGACATGTTAGTTAGATAATATAGCTGAAGTTGTATAAGCTTACCTTATTTATAGCTGGCATATTGGAAAAGTGTCTAGAAAAGTGCTTGGATTGAAAGTGAACTGCTGATGAGGCCGCTCAGCCATCGCTCGTCTTATACTTCAATCTCAGAAAAAGTACCTGATAGTATGGGGTTTAGTCCCCGCGGAGCCCCGGGGAGGCCGTGGAGGAAGTTGCCTAAATAAGTTTAGACTGGTACCTGGTACCAGGACGTGGCGATCGTTCCTGTGGCTCACCCACAGCCATCATGTACCTGACCCAAAGCAGTGCCGATCTCTTTCTCAATTTGAACATCGACATGACCGAGAAAGCATAAGTGGGTATGATTTGTGGGTGGCAATGAGTTGTTACTGTGTATGCGCGGCCTACTGAGTCTATCAGCTTATCAGAGAATACAAAGTAGCAGTGATCGGCCAAGAGCAGCAACTGACATGTGATAGCGTCCTCGCCGGACTTATCTGGGCCATTTAAACATACGATAGCCTGCAAAATGGATTCATAGGAACGGTATTATTCATTATAGACCAGTGACTAGAAGCATTTCAGGTGGGCAAATCATGGAGCGAGAATGCAAAGGCGTCAGTATATTCTGACGAGTGGAGAAAGACTCGAACATCTCAGAATAGGCTTATCAACACATGGATCTTCTATATCAACGCTTCTTAGATCTATGGTGTCTCTCCCAGCGATCTATCCAACGCGCGACTCTAAGGCATATTCCTTGCTTTTCGGCATATCCTAAATTTGTCAACCGCTTTCTGTTCACTCATGACTTGCTTGTAATATATGGTACCGACCATTACCTAACCTGCCTTGAGCCTTGGCGTGGCATCCCATGTTCTATGTTGCTCCCTCATACTCCTCCCTTCTTTGATGCAGATTACGGATATATAGACAACTGATCACCGCTACCCCCTAATGTCAAGCAAATCTCTGTTTTTTTTGGGGGGTCAACGCCTTATCGATTGAAAGAAGGTAACTATAAAGTCACCCAGAAGATTTCGAAAATTGTATATCTTGCAGTGCAAGTGCTGGTCGTTCCCGGGTTGACCGCTGCCGAACACTAAGCCGTAATCATAGGAATCAACACGAGAATCTTGTTCTTGTGCAGAGCGTAGAAGGCTATTGGCGTCTCCAGAACGCACGAGACATTCTTGTCGCTTTCAATACCGCTGTGCGAACCTGCGTCCCCTCCTGGATGAGTTACAACAAGCAGCGGAGCCTCCAGCTATCATTCTGAAGTACCTGGACAATGACGCTCTGTAGCATGTAAACCAATCATCGGAGAACCATCAACGTTGAAAGGGATCTCCAAGGGTACAAAGGTGGAATTTTATATGCTATTAATATATCTAAATGACCAGCTCCAACCTCCTTCTACTCACTTGCATGGTACACTGACATGTATCTTTCCTATCAGTAGCTGACGCGCTCCCTAAACTACTAGTATCTAGTGACCAAGCTAGTGCCGATATGCCTGCCCCTCGGCCGTCAACCTCTCCCTGCTCAATTGTTTTCCGCACTAATTATCTTGTCAGCCATCGCGGGCAGAGTCTCTGCCATGACTTCCATCTCTCCAAATAATTCCACAATCGGCTCCTTCTCCCAGATGGTGCAGTACGCTCCTTTATATCTGTGTGTCAAATGTGAGCTAATCCTGTCTCCGCCGAGATAACGCATCATTTAGTGCATCTGTACTCACCCCGCACGGCGAGCCGCCGAAACGTCCCACATATGCCCAGCAGCAAACCAGGGTTGTCCGTGTTGGGAAAGCTGCTCGAAGAGCGGCTGGTACACCCGCAGGTCTGGCTTGCCTATTCCCTGCGAGTCACAGGATTTCAGATTCTCTGCGGGCCATTCAAGACCAGCGTTGGCGAAATATCCCCCCACTCTCGCGGCGTCCCCCGCTGTGAGCGCCCAGACAGTGAACCCAGCATCACGCAGCTTAGTGACGCACTCGGCCGCTCCCGGACGGAGTCCAAGTTTGGCATACCTACTCATGATAAACTCAAGATCGCTCTTTGTGGCAAAGCTTCGCGGGTCTTGGATGCCAGCCATCTTGAGCATTCGCCAGAAGAGCAACTCCAGACAAGTAGCGAAGGTCTTGTACTGGCCCGACAAGCTCAGATACGTGTACTCGCGTTCTGCGACCTCGATCCAGGTGTATCCTAGCAAGGAAGGCTTGATTCCCTCCGCACGGAGACGGTCGCCCAGTTGCGTGTCGATCGCATCGAAGAGGACGTCGTAGGAGACCAGTGTGCCGACAATGTCGAACACCACATTCTTACTGCCGGTCATGGTGCTGGTACTGGTGCTGATCTATCGTAGGGACCAAATGAGAATAATTGGGAGAGTGACTGAAGGTTTGGCTGTTGTTCGACTTGCCTAAGCCATTGGTCTACCTTCTTATACACCTGACTCCAAACTAGGAGACATGGGTCATACAGCACAGATGATCAGCAACCCCACTTTTGCTTCTACTAGACTCCAGCTTTTCCTAATACAGTAATGGGGAGAGACTCGGACTACTCCGTACTATTATCTACAACTGGCTGTTAACGCCGCGAGTCGCTATCAAACCTCCAACCTAGCTTATCTCGGACGCAATATCTCCATTTCGTTGCCGCTTTTCAGATACGGCGGTCATAATGGCCAATGGCACTTATCATACACATTATGATATTCACCAGAATTGGCGTATAAAATGCCGCTATAGACCCTCTCTTCGATGCCAATGTAACCAGCGGGGTAAGCTACCGTTACTATGACAGAGAAAGTGAACATTAAGGACACCGTTGTCGACGCCAACGATCCTGAAAAGGATGTTGCCAAGGGAGACTGTGAGCTCTTAGGAGCAAACGAGGATGTTGGCTATCACCGGTCGCTCGGTAGTCGTCAGATTATGATGATGACCTTTGGTGCTGGCGTGGGAACTGGCTTGTAGGGCATACCTTATAAGCTGCTGGCGCACTGTGATTGACAATCTCATCTAGATGGGTCGGTACAGGCACTGCATTGAAATATGGTAAGGCTCCTTTGAGCGAAGCAGCAAAGCTTTGGAAACTAATCGCAGCATGTAGCTGGCCCTGGTGGCATCGCCGTTGCATACACCATCACTGCGTAAGTCCGTCAAGCTGCCCTATTATTACTGATTTGCTGACGTGACGCCAATATTAGATTTGTAGTGTACCTACAGTATACCTCCATCGGAGAAATGACGACCTTTAAGCCGGTCCATGGTGGATTTATCAGACAATGCATCGAGTACGTGGAACCCGCATTTGGGTTCGCCGTCGGAATCAACTTCTGGTTCTCGGTAGGTACCTCAGTCAAATCAGATGATGTATGGTCGACTCATCATTGCTGGTAGTGGGTGATCTGTATTCCTGCCGAAATAACTGCAGCTGTCTCTGTGCTTGAATTCTGGCCAGCAACAGAGGTTGTCCCACTTGCAGCGTATATCACAATCTTTCTGGTTGTCATTGCCGCGGCCAATTGTTTCGGTGTCCGGATCTACGGGCATGTTGAGTACATCATGTCTTTTGTCAAGGTCCTGGCGATATTTGTCATGATTTTCTTCATGTTTATCATGACATCGGGTGGTATCCCGGCCACACATGGACCGATCGAGTTTCGCTATTGGCGCAATCCCGGCGCATTCAACAACGGCATTAAAGGTATTTCTAAGGCGTTTGTCCAAGCGCTGTTCAGCTTCGGTGGCGGAGAGCATATTGCGGTCATTGCTGGAGAAGCGAAGGACCCCCGCCGAACCATTAAGAGAACCGTATACCCAGTGTTCTGGCGCATGTTTTCGTTCTTCGTGGTAAATGTTTGGCTTGTGGGTATGTGCGTTCCTTATGATGACGACAACCTCATCAATGGAAGTGGCACATTAGGAAGCCCCTTTGTCATTGCCATCGAGCGTGCAGGCGTGATGTGGCTAGCACACATCATAAACGGCTTCATATTCCTGACAGTGATCAGCTGTGGCATTACCAGTGCCTATATCGCTAGCCGTAGTCTTGCAGCCTTGTCCGACATGGCCATTCTGCATCCCTTCTTCGGCCGCAAGGACACTGCCGGGAGGCCCTACGTCTCTCTAGCCCTCAGCCTTACTATAGGAGGGGCTTTATGCTATCTCAATTGTAACGACACCGGAGCTACCGTCTATGGCTGGTTTTCATCTCTGGTTAGTATATCACATATTCATGCTCAGAGTTGCCCTATGACTGACATTCCTACAGGTATCTGTATCCGCCTTATTCCAGTGGTCCGGCATCTTCATCTCTCATATTCGATTTCGACAGGGTCTTGCTGCGCAGGGCATCGATAAGAAGACATTGCCTTTCCGAGACCGAACAGCACCCTACGCCCAGTTCGTTGGTCTCGTTGTGGTCCTTTTTATCGCAGGGTGCGAATTCTACCTAGCGTGCTTCCCCTTCGGCGAGAAGGGATCTGCAAAGAGCTGGTTTTCATCCTACATTGCGGCGCCTCTATTCTTCTTTGATTACTTCGGCTACAAGGTGAGTATCGGTCGACGGAATGTTTCAGGATATTCAATAACCGTTCTTTTAGATCTACTATCGCTCCAAGCTGGTTCGTCCGTCAGAAATGGACTTTTCGGCGGCGGCTGCTTTTGATGAAGAAGATCGGGCAAGGGCGGCTGTTGGTTATGAGGCAGATACCGGAACAGTGAGCAAGATTGGGCAATACATCAAGAATCTTATTTTTGGCTAGGTATGCGTTGCAATATCAGCAAGCTCCAGTTGGATCCTGCGTTAAGAGGCGTGACAGCCTGCCCAATGCTGAAGAGGGTCAAAGCAAACTCTGGACAGTGCACATCAGCTTTACGAAACGGGCAAATTTGCTGATTATACACGCTCGTGACTCAGTAGTAAATATAGGAACTCCAAAGAAATGATCTATCCCAGTGGGCCTGATGCTATTTATATTAAACGGGGCGGCGGGGGGACTGAGGCGCATTAGGACAAAGAAACCACCGAAATCACCCATGATGTAAACAAAGCGTAGAGATCAACTTCTAGTACTTCATTCATCTTCATCTCCTCATTGCACTGCGATCTTCTGCGCTCACATATTCACAGTCACAACACCCCTGTCATATTTGTAGCCCCCCTCACTAGTGCACTATAGTCGAATTTGGTTGTAGTCCAGCTTGCGGCGCAGCTCTCTTGCATAAACTAGGCAATTCTAGTCTCAAGAGCCGAAGATGAGCGCGACCACTTCATCAAGGGAAGAGATTTTTTGCAGTCTTTTTCAACTTGCACGTACGATTCTCAGCCAGGCCGCTACACACTCAGTTGGAAAACCTCCCCGAACTGAGAGCACGTAGCACCTCTGGTAAGGACATGTGTGCTTCGTCTTAATGACTGCTAGCCAGGCTAACAAGATCGCCGTGGGTCTATGATCTTCTTAGAAACGTCTTGTCTCTCATTTTTTTATCGACTCCCTGACTTGCAAGATGCGACCACGGATGGAATAGACGGAGTCCGTTTCTTGACAAACCGACGCATGCTTTACACACTGAAGATGTACCTGTGGGCTACTGTTAGACTCAACCGCCCACTTATGGATCTCTAGACTATTGCTTGCCCGATAGAATAATATATCGGAGGTTTGATGCTGCTCCTCACTTTGCTATAGCAGGTCTAATATCCTTTTTCTCAACAGTGTCTAGAGCTCTCAGACATCGGCTGTGAGTCCACCTTTGACGACGAGCCTGCGATGCAACATACATAGAGTTGAACACGCCCGCTATTGCGGATGCTGCCTGGCACCTGCTCATTGTGGCTGGACCCTTCATATAGTGCCAGTCTAGTACCCCATACATTTGCTCAGAAAGCTCGGCAAATAAGCTCTGGCAGCCACTCATCTCAAAACCAAGACGGCATTTTTTTTTGGCAGCCGTTAGGAAATTGCATGTGCAGTGCTTAATACTAGGACCATCCTTTAGCCATGACTTTTTGGGTCGGGCGTTTTCTCCGGACGCCGTCGATTAATTGGGGGCACAAGAGAGTGCGCCATTAACCGTTCTGCGAATCAAAGGATCGAGCGGAATGGGCCCGGCGGACTTCGCATTTATCATCCGCTCCCAATGATGGTCTCGCCGGACGGCCTCGACGGATTTTATGGAGACCATTTATCTCTGGTCTCGCTTCCTTCGGCATCGACTAAAACCGTCACCGCTTATTTCCAAGCGCGGTTCTCAAAACCGACGGACACAATCATCAAAATTGAGACTACATCGGACGCTTCAGGAAGGGAGTGGCCGGTCAATGAAGTCATTAGTCTCCCAGGATTTCCTCTATCGGCTCTTGGAAGAATCCTGCAACTAAGGTTCGAGCAATGATGTTCCCGCGATTGCTGGCCTCCACCCTTCAACCATGGTGAGCCGGCCCGTCAAGACGTCAATCGCAAATTCCATCTGGGCCGGCCGCCGGTACGTGCCAACTTCTGTGTAAGATACACCGGGGCGGAATTGATCTGGAAACGACAATCGCAGATGCAATTGTGGAGCAGTCTTCAATTCCACGGTCGCACACCTGAGCCAGGCTGATCGGCATTCCCTAGTGTTTCTATCATTCCGCTAACCAAATAGTCGAGACAACTGCGGAGCATCTCATGGCCATCCAGGCGCCACATGGTGCAGTGAAGAAGATGATAGGGATTTATGTGTGCTCTTATGTGCGTCCATGTCATACGATAGGCTAGTCCTGGGTTTCAAACCTGGCCACCATCAACGAGCGCACAACTGGGGTGGAGGGGGCCAAATGAAAAGAGCGTATGAACTACTAGACTCGTTGGTACAAGTGCCAGCGGCCCGCCAGTCGTCGTGGCGCGGGACAGCGGCCATTTCCGAAGCAAGAGCCCACTTTCAAGTGTGCTTGCTAGTCAGTAGTTACAATCGACTGAACCTTCTTCTGGTCCGTTCAGCCGATTACACTTACAGTACGGCAGTCTTCCTGTTAGTTTCCTCTTCTTCACGGAGGTTCCTGGTGCGGCCCACGGGCTTAATCATGCATGTTGCAGGCACGGGTCGCCCAGCTATCATTGATCGAAAGACCAATTTAGTGCAGACTTAGACACGCAGGTTGATGGATTCCCACGAGGGGTGAAAACGTGCTTAGTCGCATCCTGTCTGTGGCATTTGCTTGGGCTAAGATCCTTTGCACATGGTTCACTTATTGACTGCCTACCCACCACAAGAGTTTGAAATAGCCCGCCACGGCCAATCCCCCCCCGGGCAGTCATATCATAGCCGACAACGACCTCATTTCCAATCACGGCCTTGAAGATCGGCAGGTCTCCTCAGATCCCAACTACTAGAGAACTAGGCGGTCTTTGCCATAACATAAAATGGTGGCTTGTAACGGCACGGAGTCGTGGGTTCGGGGCGGGGAAAAGTTCAGAGGACATCGGCTGCTTCCTGACATTCTCGATTACTACGCCCATGACGAGCCCGATCGTGTATTCGCTGCTATTCCCAAGACTAAAAGCGTCACGGATGGATTCAAAGACATCAGCGTGAAAAAGATGGCCACAGCCGTAGACCATATGGCTTGGTGGCTGGAGCGCGCTTTTGATGGAGTATCCAGAAAGACAACACTGGCCTACATTGGCCCTCCTGACCTCCGCTACCCCATTTTGCTGCTGGCGCTCATGAAGTGTGGGTGGAATGTATGTGTCTATCCTCTCTTAGAACCAATTACCAGTACTGACTCGAGACAGGCAATGTTCGTCTCGCCTCAAAACACCCCTATTCAGAATTTAGGCCTTTTGCAGGAAGCAAACGTCTATGGCCTTCTCTATGCGGACGTCATGTGCTCGGCAGCAGAAAGCCTTCAGCAATTCGACCCTTTCATGCAATCCTTGCAGGTGCCAACGCTGGCGGAGCTTTTTAAGTCCAAGTCCTCTCCATTTCATTGGAATGCTTCTTTCGAAGAATTCCAGAACAAGCGTTGTCTGATTTTGCACACTTCCGGCACGACAGGCCAGCCAAAACTGGTTCAATACACCCACGGTACCCTTGCCTGCGCTGACAATGATACATTCATGTCTGTCCCAGAGGGACGCCGAGCGCAGAATGCAGATCAATTCAATTTCTCTCCACCAGGACGCTATTACTCCCCCTTTCCGCCTCACCACGTAAGTTGCTCTATGCGTTCTTCATATTCTTGAGCTCATGGATCAACAGCTAGCTGGCCTCCATGCCTTCACCCTTTTGCCTCTCATTTCACGTACGGCTGCTTTTGTCATGGGACCTCTGACTGTCCCACCAAGCGGGGCCCTGCTGAGCGCCATTATGAAACAACAGCCACAGATACGAGCCATCTATGTTCCCCCATTTCTGGTGGAGCAGTGGGTGCTTGAGCCAGGCGCTTATGACCAGGCACGACGGCTTGATTTCATCCTTTGTGGTGGAGCGGCGTTGGCACCTAGTGTTGGGAATAAGCTAAGTGAGGTAACAAATATACGCCAGATGTATGGCTCTATTGAGACATGCCACATCCAGGCGCTCAATCCCCAGCCAGGAGAGTGGCAATATATCGAGTTCAACAATTGTCCGGAAATTGAGATGCAGGCTGTGGGTGATGACGTCTATGAGCTGGTTCTGCACCCTACTAAGAGCTCACGGCCATATCTATCCCTTGCTCATAATTATCCCAAGGTACACACGTGGCGCACTAAAGATCTTTTCAAGCCTCACCCCACCAAAGCTGGTTTGTGGCTTTTTCACTCGCGCACCGAAGATATAATCGTGCTAGAGAATAAGCTCAAAGTGTGGCCTATTCCCATGGAGACTATCCTGAGGGGAGATCCTCATGTGACAGGGGCTTTGATTGTGGGAAATGGTCGCCCAGATCCAGTTCTGCTCGTTGAAGCTAGACAAAGCTCATATCAAGAAATGAGCAGAGATGAGCTGCTGGACGCCATTTGGCCATCTGTCGTCGAAGCTAATTCCGTTGCCTCTGAGCACGCGCAAATACAGCGATCCCGGATTGTCTTGTGTCCACCGAAACTCGGGTTTTTCCGGACACCTAAAGGGACGGTCATGAGAAAGCCAACCGAATCCCTGTATGCCGAACTGATCTCTGCAGCCTTCACGGAAGAGGATGACGATAGCAGCGGCGATGAGTATGACTTTTCCGGCGACCGAACAGAGCTCGGTATGCGCGAAGCAGAGCTCCTGACTGCGACTTGACACGCCAATGTCATTCAAACCTTGCGGGCAGAAATAGCGCCATGATATTTTCAAGGTTGCCAGACGTTTCGCATCGATCATTGAGCCATACAGCACACAGAAGACTAACACAGATGGCGTCTGGCCTGCCAATCTCCGGAACACTCTGAGGCGGAAGGTCCACCAACAGCTTCCGGACCGAGACAGGGACATCAGTATCAGGGAACAGGAAAGACGCTGGCTATGATCCCATAGGCCGCCACATACCGTGCCGTGTCTCAGCTTGGTGACAGTCGTGAGCGCCCTCATATGCTTGAAGATCTACAATGAGTTCCAGTTGGTAGCTCTGGTCATGTTGAGGTAGCGTGAGTGACATGCTCCAAAGCCTATAAGTCTTCTATGAGGCTTCCAAGTGCATACAAATCTGTGCGCTTTATAAGTGCTGTGGCGGGTATCTCGCGGGAGAGGCAGCAGGGGTTGCGGAAGAACAGTACAGGTCAGCATTGGACTGTGAGGCAGGCCAAACCAGGAGGATCGCAGGATTCACCATCTTCAACTTTGCCAGATGCATCGTTCTTTTACTCCGAGGTTATAGATTGACCGCTATCTTGTAACCGAAAGACAAAATCAAACAGATTTGTGCAATAAAACCTCAAATAACGTGCCTATTGAGCGTCTAACGTCAAGGGATTTGTTTTGTCTCAAAGCAATTATAGTAGTCACGAGTATTTAAGTTCGGTAATTTTAAACCTACAGCGAGTGGCTATGGCACCTGTCACACTTTGCCATTTCGGACTGTTATATCCCCTCACATTCAAACTACTCAACTAGCAATGAAATATGTCGATGCAAACCAAATCCTCACAAGATAGCGACAGCGGGAAAAGAAACTCTTGCAATCAGCAATTGCCCACAATTGTGTGATTCCCTCTTGCTCGGAGCTAACAGTAGAGCGTCGGCGGTCAGTGGGGAGAGTACATTACTCCGCACTGAGACATCCATGCTAATGCTAAGCTAAACGAACACCTGTTTAATTGACAAGGTCACCTGCCCATTTGACATGCCACACTTCAAGAACATAAACATGTTCATGTTCATGTTCATGTCGATCAACATGTACCCAATCCAGGGATGCGTAATTCACCCTAGATGGGCTGACAGCATCATATCATGTCAGAATGGAATGCGCGCGCCGATCATAAGATTGAACCCCCCCTCTTTTCTGTTGGCTATTTAGTGACCCCGCAGGAGAGGGATGAGTATGATGAGGGAGCGCTATAATAGCCCACACCCCGGTCATATTCGCAGCTAAGTTCCGACGGTATTCCGAGGTGTCTGTTAGTAGTAGGGTGTAGTGATATTGGAGAATACTACGGCGTAACACTCAGATTAAAGCTCAAAGCTCAGTTGGCAGGTCCTTTTTGGGGCTGGTTGACTGGTTGGGTGGCTGGTAAAGGGCGCTTAAGCTAGGCAGGTGATCTGAAGTGAGCGCTTGATTGCATAGATCTCTATGGTGGGCAGTTCGACAAGTGCGAACTTTATCACAGAGGGGAAGTCCAGGCTATCTAGTTGGTGGTAGTTTCAGAAGATCGAATATGTGGAAGATTCACAGTAAGACTACATGTACAGGCAGATCGAGAGAAGATTCCACTTGTCAAGTAGTGAATTGATGATAGAGGAAGCCTGAGAACTGAGGCGAGAAACCTCGCTTGCGGCGGCTAATCCAGTTGCGGCCAGCGGCACGGCAACCATCCAGAGCCCAACGCCCGGCGTCAAGGTCCACCATCCAAACCCCCATCATCTTCGCTGTGTCTGCGCGTGTCGCCGAATCCCCTCCTCCCATCTCCTGTTTGGTGCATTCACTCGCTGTTGTCCGCCTCGCCCTTCCCATCCTCTCTCCCCGCTTGTTCCCTATCTCCCCGATTGTTGGGGGATTGAACGCTGTCCTTACCCCCCCCCTCTCTCCCCTCTGTCGTGCGGTTCCCGGGTCCTTTCCACCCCTCTCCGCCCTCGTTCCCCGTTTGTCGACCCTTGGGATTCACCCCAATTCACCTGGGCGCCTGCTTCCCACCCGCCGTCTCTTTTTTCGCTGGCCTCGTGTGATTCACCAGACATCCTGCATTTGGGCCTCCCCTTGTCCCTTCCTCCATCCAATAATTTCCTTCCCCTTCGTCCCGACCGCTGTCCGGTGAGCTTTGAGTCTGCTCCCTCTCTATTACTTACCTGGCTATCTCCGCCGTGCCCTCTTGCTGACTTTTTCCCGCCGGAACGCTTCCCTAGCATGGTGCTTAGGTCGGAACATCCTAGGAGACTGAGAAGCCCGCCCTCTTCGTCCTCCCTACCCATCGCTATCTTAGCCTCCTAAAGTCCTCACCTCTCCATGGCTCCGCCGCAAACGCCCCGGCCGAATCCCGGTTCCACAATGTCCGATCCTGCGTCGACATCCATCCCTGCACACGCCACAAACGGCGAGGCCCATGCGCCCAACGACCACCACCACGCCCAACTCCCTCTATCAGACTCCAAACCCGTGTCGGTAAACCGCAAGAAGCAAAAACGCAGACAAAAACAGGCCGCCCGCTTGGCTGCGGAGCGTCAGTTCGGAAACGGCCACATCTCCGCGGACATGTCTGAGCAGAACGGTCTGAGCCCTACCGCGCCAGCATCTCATGTATCCGACGACCACGACCTCGATGAACGCGCCAACGGCGAAACGTACTACGAGGAGATCCACGACGCGACACATGATCTGGATGACCACCCACCGAATCTGTCAAACGGGCAACCCGGTCAACAAAATGCCACGGCTCGGAAATCCAAGAAGAAGAAAGGAAAGAAGAATCGGGCTGGCTCACAGACCATGGGCGATGAAAGTTCGACTCCACTGTCCACTCCTTCAGTCTCCATGTCACAGCATCTGCCCCCGCCGTTACCGTCGCATCTGCCTCACACGCTTCTGAAGACGAGTAAGGACCGCAGCATTTGGAATACCTCCACGCAAGAAGAGCGAGAGAACATCAAGACGTTCTGGCTTGAGCTTGGGGAGGAGGAGCGACGCCAGCTCGTCAAGGTTGAAAAGGATGCGGTCTTGAAAAAGATGAAGGAGCAGCAGAAACACTCGTGCAGTTGTACCGTATGTGGGAGGAAACGGACGGCTATCGAGGAGGAACTGGAAGTACTATACGACGCTTACTACGAGGAGTTGGAACAGTACGCCAACAACAACCAAGGCTCGTTCGAGAAGGGCCCGCCGATGGTCCCGCCTCCGCGTTTATACCACCCGCCTCTACGGTCACCCGGCCAACATACACGGACGCAAGGCCAGTTTCATCCCTCCCGAGGCCGGATTCATGAGTTGCCCGAAGACGACGAGGATCTAGAGGAGGACTATGATGAGGATGATGAGGATGACGAACCTTACAGCGACGACGAGTACGAAGACGAAGAGACCCGTGCAGCCCGCGCAGATTTCTTCGCCTTTGGGAATAGTCTAACTGTCAAAGGTAGGCGACAAATTATGCTTCTTTCTTTCATTTTTCCGAAGCCGGTAACTAATCTTATTTTCACTCTTGCAGATGGCATCCTTACAGTCGCGGACGATCTGTTAAAGAACGACGGGAAACATTTCATCGACATGATGGAGCAATTAGCTGAGCGCCGAATGCAACGTGAAGAGGATACCCAATACGGCATAGCAGCAGCTCACCAATCCCTCCATGGCGGCCACAACCACGGCCCTCTAGATGACGACGACTATGACGAGGAAGAGGACGAGGACTACGATAGTCAGGAGGATGAAGATTATGAGGAGGATGAAATGGTCAGCTCCGGGAACTGGCCGGGTGGTGATGCAGTGCAAGCTGACTCGTTTCTGCAGGACGCCATGACGGAAGAGCAACGCATGGAGGAAGGCCGACGGATGTTTCAAATATTTGCGGCCCGAATGTTCGAACAGCGCGTCTTGACAGCCTATCGAGAAAAGGTCGCAGAACAGCGTCAGCAGAAACTGATCGAAGAACTCATGGAGGAGCAGACCCGAAACGAGCAACGAAATGCCAAGAAAGCGCGGGAAGCTCAGAAGAGAAAGGACAAGAAGAAGCTCCAAAAGCAGGCCAAGGAGGAAGAGAAGGCGCGAAGGGAGGCGGAGAAGGCGGCCGAGGAAGCTGCAGCCAAGGCTGAACAGGAGAAGAAGCTCGAAGAGCAGAGGAGGAAGCGCGAGGAGCAAAAGAAGAAACGAGAGGCAGAACGCAAGGCCCAAGAAGCGGAGCGTCTCCGCAAAGAGGCGGAGAAGCAGAAGCGGTTACGTGAAGAAAGGGAGCGACAGGCTGAGATTGAGAGAAAGCAACGAGAGCAGAAGGAGCTGGAGAAGAAGCGACGAGAAGAAGCACGGCAAAACGAATTGCGAGAGAAGAAGACCAAGGATGAGCGAGAACGTAAACTCAGGGAGGCCGCCCCCAAGACCGATTACGAAGGTCAAGAGAAACGCGATCCCCAAGCGAAACGAGTGTCGCATACAGGACCGGTTCCGATCCCAGCCAGCTTGCAACACGCCCAGGCGCTGCCTGCATACTTGCAGTCACCGCACTACCAAATCGCCACTCCTATAGTCCCCAAAGCTCCGACACCTGCCAGGCCGCGGCAACCGTCTCAGCAGGGCTCCCATACGTCGTCTCCACGATCCCAGCCTGCAAGCACCGAGCCGTCACAGGTATCCATTTCCCCCCGGTCGATGGCGCCATCGCAGTCATCAGGGGCGTCCAGCGTTACGTCTAAGCAGGGCCATGGACAGCCACCGCTGCTTCACCATCCCCAGCCCTCGACACCTCTGTCTCCCCTTGGTGCGCTGAACCGCTCTCATCCACCCGGATTCTCGCCATCGAATCCGCCTGGGTTGGGTCTGGTCGCACGTCCGCCGATAGGCCATGAGCTACCTTCATACCCGCCGCATTCGGGCCCGCTGATGAATCAACTGCGAGGATTCCCTGCGCCGAATGGACTGCCCGTGCTTCCAGGAATGAATGGAACTCGTCCCATGCCTCCAGGACGGGGCTTTCCGCTCGATCCAGGACATGGTCTAGCATTCCATCAGCAGCCCATAGCCAATGCATTCGCTGCGCAGCCAAGCGGGCTGTCTCATGCTCATTCCAGGCAACCGTCCAGCTCGTTTGAGCGGTCGCCTTTGGATGCGCATGCGTTCCCGATCTCCCGGCCTAGTCCTATCAAGCGCCCGTCAAGCACTCAACAAGACCAGAACAACCGGTCGGCACAGCGGGATGTGGATGATCTAAGTGCGCATCTGGGTAGTAGTGCTCTTCTCGACGACAGTGACGTCCCATTCACTTCGAATCTCTCCCAGTCGCTTCCTGGTGCGACTGCTCCTGGAACCTTGCCTGGACCTACCCGAGCCAGCTTTGCAGGAACGTCCCTCTTCGCAGATCCCCTAGGTAAGTACCGTTGGCAAGCAGTCATGGCTTTCGCATATACTGACAACTTCATAGCAGCCAAACACAGTGGTTTCCCAATTGGCCCGAGTGTAGGAAACACGTGGAGTACGCAGATTCCCTTCGGCACGTCTCCTTTCCCCAGCGCTCCAACATGGGGAACTGGACCTGGTCAGTTTCACCTCGACGTCAGTCCTTTCTGTGCTATCAACTGACGACATCTATAGGAAGTGGCTGGTCCAACAACGCATTTGCCCCTGGCGGTCACCACCGTGCGCATACCTCTCGGCCCGTGACGATACGACTGCTGGTCATCCAGGCCTGCAAGCAACTCAACATGATGAGCCCTTCCAAAGGAGCCAGTGGGTACCATGATGTGAAAGTTGTCCTTCGTCAGGTCGACCAGCTACGGCCAGTCAACGAGCCCCCGATCTCGTTGAAGGAAATGCTGGACATCTGCGACACCGAAGGCAACTCGCAGAACGGAGGCGGATCGTTCTCAATCAGGAGCGATGAAACGGGCGAATGTGTCAAGTTCGAGCCGGACACGAACAGTGCGTCCTCAGGTCACAGAGGCAGCATCGTGCCCGGGGAAATCGGCAGTCCGGTTCCCAGTAGCAGTCTTCCAGCGTTTGGCGGAATCGGCTCATCGACACCATCAGTGCTACGGCAATTCTCTTCCCCTACGGGTTTCTAGGCTTCCAGTTGCAATGGCACGAGAAACACTGATGACAGACATTCTCACTTTCTTCCCTTGCCCGTCTCCTGATCCTTCTCCATCAATTCCTCCTACTCCACTGAATGAAAGCGTCCATCATGTCATCACCCCTCTTCTTCTTCCATCCTCGTCCCTATCTTCCTCAAACCTCCCTCCTCGCTTCTTCTCTTGATGGATTCTTCATGTTCTGAGTTCCCTTTTCCATCTTCTCTTCCTACGCACATTGAACGGACATCAATCATGTCATGTACGTTACGTTGTTCTCTTCTTTTTGCTTGTTTGTTTCTTGCACCGCTCCCCACCGAAATTCAGGTGGTGTTCTGAAAGTGAAACCCCCATTTCTTGTTTGTTTTCCTTTCTCCTCTTTTATGTAGCGATTCCCAAGGAGCAAATTCCCATGCTCCCAAATACCTCATGTTCGTTTGAAACTCCGTGTTAAAACAATTGCATGATGCGAATCGGATCTCTAGGGCGGTCAATCGATTGACTGGTCCTGATCGTTCCGTACTCTTAAACTCTTCTACTACTACTACTTCTTCTTCTTCTTTCGTCTCTCGCCTGTTACTTTAATCGGTGGGATTATTGTAGAGTTTTGTAGAGACTAGATAAGGTAGTGGGTATCGATTAGTTCGGTAGTAGTTCTTGTATGTAGATGAGTCGTAGAGAGGAATACTAGTGGAATACGCTTCCATGAATGTTTGTACTACTTATGTCATCCTACATACGAGAGGTAGTTGATTAGCAGATAGTTAATTGCCTGCTAAGCGCCATATTTTGGGTGTCTTCATTAGCTAAGTTCTTCTGAAGTAGAATCCTAGGGATGCTCGCTACAGGTAGTGCCGATAAAAGTAGGAGTGAATATAATAACAGCAGAAATATAATATAAGTAGGATAAGATCAAGCTTTCTATCGGAGATCAAATTTTCCTCCCTAGTAACTATAAGAAAGGTAGGAAGTAGGAAGTAGGTAGAAAGAAGGAGAAGGGTATGATAATGATGATGATACACTGATTGATATATTCGACTCAAAAGGAGGGCGGACATAAAGCAGGTAAAGAAGAGGTAGAGGGTAGGGTGATTCGGTTTCGTAAGGGGGGAGAGAGAAAGAGAGAGGGAGAGAGAGAACGGAAAGGGAATCTTACACGCGCGAGGCTGGAAGAAGAAAAAACAGGCAAACGGATGTCAGGGGACACATGGCTGGTGTTGGTGGTGGTAGGTAACATCGCTCATTCATACGGGAGGGTCATGCAATTTCACTGTCTGGGATCGGTGACTACGCCTTCGAAATCTCGGGATCGGATGTACTCCAGTGTGCGCTGGAAGTGTCGCTTCGGGCCCTCCAGGCTGGGGTTGGGCTCGTTTTCGTCTGTCTGGAGGTTCGAGTGGATGAGTTCGATAAGGCCGTTGAGGTATTTGATCGTGACGGTTTCGTTCTGTTGGTCGAAGTAGTAGACGTAGCGGTTGAGGATCTCGACGAAAAGCTCCACGGACACGGCAGTGTCCATGCAGGCGTCTGCGACGCGGAGGGCCCGTTGAAGGCACTCGAGGACGCGCTTGCCGTCGCGGTAGAGCTGTTCGGTGTTAGATGTTGACTGGGAGCTGCACTACATGAAGAGGTGGACTTACGTTCTTGGGATCTTCCTCGCCACGTTGAGGGTTCTCAACAACCCACCACAGGTGACTGGCTAGGTACACAGCGCGACATTGGTCGGGCTTCTTCAGCAGCTTGCTTCCATGCAGAGCGGCCTTGGTAATGAGGGTATCATAGTTCTCCTTGGAAAATCCGCGGGTGCCGTGGAGTGCTCCCGCAATGATACAGACGGCCTGGAACTGAGCACGCGAGTCGCTGATGGAGTCCTCGTAGATAGTGAAGGCTTGCGCAAAGAACTCGTAGCTGAACTCTTCGAAGCCCGTTTGGTCCGCCACTTCTCCACACATCACAAACAGGCGCAGGGACAGATCAGCGCAACCAGGGTTCACACGCTGGTAGAGGTTGTTGACACACTGGTGCATAAACCGGTAAAGGGCTGAGGACTGAGATTGCCAGTTGTCATCGTAGTGCTCGCGGGCCTTGAGTTTGCGTGCCAGACGGATCGAACTCGTGACCAGGGCTGGCGTCGTGTATCGGATACGCTCGTTGCCGTCGAGGTAAGCCTTGCGAGTTGCTTGGAGTAACTTTTAAGGAACAGAAGTTAGTGGCAGAAATATAGTGCGGGAAAGAGGTAATCAATCACCTTCAACTGGGTATCATTGTCCTTGGCCTGGATCAGATGGACCAGGCGTGCAAGCCATCCTTGTTCCTCGATGGTCTCATCAGTCTCACCTCGCCGCTGAGACTGTATGCCAGGATAGCCCATAGACTGCTGAGTGCCTTCCTTGATCAAAACCCTTAGGGCTTGCAGAACGCGGTCGAGGTTCTCGGTAGTCGTGATGAAAGTTCGGTTCTTGAGAAGACTGCGAGCGATTTCGCCTGCGACAGCTCGCCGGGTCGTATAGGATTGCGAAGTCAGAAGTGGGATGTAGTGAGGCAGTGCAAGAGCCGTGAATATGGAGGCGTAGGAACGGAGAGGTGCGGTAAGGAGATGCAAGAGGTTCTGCTGTGTCGGGGCAGAGTGCAGGTCGGCGTGATCAGCATACGTCGCAGTCTCTCGAGTTGCAAAGTCGAGGATCTGGTCGACAAATTCTAGGCGATCCGGGTAGGTGTTAAGAGCCAGGTTGACAAGCGAAACCAGGAGCGCCATTGTGTCTTGAATAGGGAGGCCGCGGCTCTTGATCAGGTTAACCACTTGCTCATAGAAGATGTCGTACAGCTTGACATCTGCAGGGATTCCAGCCTTGTCGTCGCCATTGGCCGTGGATTCGCCTTCTGTCGCAGCTTCACCCTGTTCAGCATTATCTGTTGCGGCCTCCTCCACGCCGTTCTCCTGGGTTGCTTCTTCCGGCGCTTGCTTCTTGGTCTCTTCGGATACCTTGAGGTTCCCAAGGAGCTTCGTGACAGCCTCCTCTTCCTTCTTAATTCTTGCATCGGGCTCGGCGGACGATTCGGTCTCACGAGCTGCATAAGCCGACAAGCGGTCCATCAAACCAATGACAATCTTCTTCAGATCCACATGGGGGTTGAGTCGAGAAATTGCGGAGAGCAGGAGATCGAGGGTGTGCAAGTGAAACTCATCGGGGAACACCTTGGTGATGACTGCACCGTCAATTAGCATGCCAGGCTTTCGATATACAATTGCGTCATTTTACCTTCAAGGAGATACTCCTGCGCCAAAACATCACGACACTGGACGACCTGCTCCAGCAGTGCCTGTAGTATACCGGATTTGTATCCCTCCAGATCCACCAACTGGCTGAGTCGCACAACGTTGCTACCAACAAGCAGCTCCAGTTCCCGGCGCTCCTGCATCCGCTTCTCGCGCTCGCGCGAAGGGCCCTGGTGCTGGAGTCGCACCCACAGCTTGTTCATCTCGACGAAGTTTGTCAAGACGAAGCTGATCGAATCCTGCAAATTGCCCTCCGGACCATCACCAGAGCCCGTCGGCAAGTGGTCTCTAGCCTGTCCGGACAGATAATACCGCAGGAACAGGCCGCGGATGGGATGCTGCACACCTCGACTCATCTCCATCATATCCTTCATAATCTCTTTGACCGGAGCATCCTCCACAGACATGTATACCGTTCCTACGGTGATCATGAGATAGAGTCGCGGAATGATGTTTCCGGCATATTGAACAAGTTCGTACAAATCCGCCAGATGGTTGACTGGGTGGTTCTCTTTCAGGTAGACGGAGAGGTGTCGCAGGGCATCAAAGACGGCCATGTACAGTTCGTAGTATTGCTTCGGGCCAAGGCTAGGGGTTCGTAGCTCGGATACCAAGGTAGACCTGAAGCAATTGACAGAAGATATCAGTTATCTCGACCCCAATTCCATTGCTGCCTGGAGTATCCGAAGCTCAAGCTTACCCGCATTTCAACGCATCCATTAATTTCCCCGGAGTTTCCAAGCACTTTCGCATCATCTGCGACTGTTGCCGCACGACTCCCAATGCCTCCTCAAGGAGACGGCTCTGGTCTTCGGGGGCCGCTACCGGGGTGGCCATGGCGGATGTGAGGCGATGATGTGAGGGGAGTCGGACTCAGTGGCTTGAATCGGGCGGTAAACACCTGGTCGGAAAGGGGGAGGGGCGGAGAGGGGAATTCGAGGATGGGAGCAACAGAAAAGGACGATGCGCTAGAATGTCAGGCGGAGATCCAAACAGCTCCTGATCCATAGACAGGAGTACGATAAAAGGGACAGTAGGAGCAGGAGAACGTGGGAGAGGATGGGGAAGGTGAATGCGAATGCGGACATGCGATCAGAATGCCAGTTAGTTTACGGCCTGGGCGTGGGTTATGTAATCCCGGCCCCATGCTGTACGTCACGCTTAATTTACTTGAATTACTATAACTATAAAATAAGATATCCAGTTCTTCGAATATTCATCCATTCATTCCATCTTTTTATGCAATCTATCCTATAACTGTAAAAACCCGACCACAATCTAGACCTAGTACGTACCCGAAATCGAATGAAAGCAGTCGCTCCCCTACATAAAACCAACAATAGCCTTTCCCACAAGAGAGCATGAAACCATCTGAGAACCATAAGGAAAAAAGCAAAGGAAGGAAGGAAAAAGAAATAACAAACGCCCCCATAGATGCATGCTATCATGACCATAATCACCAACCATGGCAGTCATGACATATCGTGACGATGCAAAAACCGAAATTCGTGAAAGAGCCGCATGCTCGTTATCCATCAAAATTCATGAAATGTTTTCATACTAGTCATTGGCGACGGTTTTTCAACCTGCAGAACGATATGGCAGGACCCGATTAAGCGTCACCTTGGCACCTGAAGATGACTCTACGCCTGAGAATCTGTGTGGTTCAGGCCCCTAGCGTGAAGCCTGGAAGACATAACGGCGGTGTCAGAGGGGGTGTCATTGAACGCCCGCGCCTGCAAAGCTGTCGCATTCAAGCCCCGAACCTTGTGATCGAGGACCTTGCTGGAGTTCAACGCAGACTCGGCGTCTCCAATCTCGCGGGTTACCAGCTTGGAAACGGTATCGTTGCTACGTGCAGCAACCCTAGCGGTACTGTTGTCGGACTCAAGCCCCTCGTAAAGTGACCGGCGGGCCATGGCCTTAGCAATGGTATCATTGCTCCGGGCAACAACTTCGGAAGTGATGTTGCTGCGAGCCTGCAGACTGTGCTCAGTCTCGTTGCGCGCTTCCGACAGCAAACCCCGAGCAATAACATCCACCTTAGGCTGGCTCTGAGCCGGGATGGTGTCGTTGCTGCGAGTGGCGATCGCATGGTTTTCGGTGCTGTTGGTGGCATCATCCGAGAACATTTTACGCCGGCTCAGAGTGCTGTTTGTAGCATGGTCGAGAATATCCCGGCGGCTCTCTGTCTTGTTGGTAGTGGCGTCATCCTCCAACCTCGCACGTCGGCTCAGGGTGCTGTTGGTAGCATCCTCAAGGATTCCACGTCGACTCACGGTGTTGTTGGTAGTAGCATCATCCGAGAACATTGCACGTCGGCTCGCAGTGCTGTTGGTAGCATCATCGGTGAACACACGTCGGTGAAAAGCGCTTGCGCTGCTGTTGGTTTCGCGGCGATTCAAAGGAGCACCATCCACGGTAGGCCCGGCATTCCAGGGTGAGGGAGAAGCACCAGGCACAGAAGCTGGTGTGGACGAGGGGTACTCAGTGACAGTGATAGTGGTAGGCGGTGCCGGAGGGTTAGTCGCAGTGATGGTCTCGACGACGGGGGTAGTAGGGCCCGCAACATTCACGACTTTGTAGGGGCCTTCCTCTCTACGCTCGACGGTGTCATTTCCACGAGCGTGGAGGACAGGAACCGCATGGGCAGAGAGGGCGAGGGCAAGGAAGAGAGCAGCGGTATGCATGGTGCTGCCGGTGCAATATGGAAAGGTCTGTAGATGCTGGATGTAAGGGAAGACCAGGACAGATATAACAGAAACAGTGAACCAAAGTAGTCTATAAAGCAGGACAAGGATTATAAGAAGATTAGAATGCTTAGTATAAGAGTCTTTTGATTAGACCGAGAGATTTGAAACTGGATCAACAACAATCGACGAGAGGATGGCTCAATTTATGATTCGGATTCACCAGCAACACAGCACATACACACCGACCAACCAGGCTACGGACACAACAAAAATTGGCGCCTAGAAAAAAAAATGAACTAAGAAAATCAGTGACAAGCAAGCAAGATCTACACGGGTGCGGCAGAAGTATATGCCATCATACACGGCACGAAGCCCCATCGTCGGGGAGAAAAAAAGGTGCAGGCTGGCGCATCATGATACTGTCAAAGGAGGCTGGGATGGGTGGATGGAGTCTTGTCTCTGCCAGCCACGTTGGTTTCTGGTGGGAAGAAGGGCACTAGAACCAGTGGATCGCCGTTTCCCAGCGGCAAAGACCCTGTGCATTAATTGATTTCTTTTGTGCCAATTATATCTTCGACAGGCAGCATGATTTGAATGGCCAATGGATGAAGATATTGAAAGGGAAATAACTACTTTTATTTTTCTAGTAAATCTACTAAATGTCGCGCCAAAAATAAGAAAGTGGCACTAAACGTGCTAATTAAAGCTGGGATCCCGTGACCGGGCCCTTCTGCTGTCAAATCCAAAGTGGCTGGGGGGATCCACTTCCATTTACTTCCTCGCTGATCCCCTCACAGCCCGGCCCAGGTTCATCTCAGACTGTCTCATTGTCCTTGTTATTCCATCCTGCCCGGATCACACAATGTTAAAGTCTGGACCGTAGATCCTCATCACGTCTACGTCATGCTCTGGATTTCTAACCTCCAACAGAGCTTACCGGAGCATTAACAAGTCGGCGGTGTGAGCGCCACTTATCCCCCGTCTACACCTTATCTCAACAGCAGAAACACAGAGTATGGTGGTACAGAAAAACAGTATCGATAATGGTACCGAGTCGAGCCATTAGGAGGGAATCTCATCATACCGTCAGCAACCGATAACCCACCAAAGGCGAAAAGCTCATCATATCTTTCTCACTCTCATCTTTACTCTCTTTTAGGCATGGCACCGCAACAGGGATAGCTAATAGAGCAGGATCAGCAATTTGCCATTGGCATATCATATCACATCACATCACAGCGCATCACAGCCCAGCTCAGGCAGGGTCCTCGGGATCTCCTTCCCCGTGTTCTCTTAGATCTAGATGCCAACTCAGGTTTCGAGGTTGCCTGCATCTCCTACGGCGTTTCCGGATGCATAGGAAAGAAGCATGCACTCTACGACAGACAGAATGATACCTAGTGTGTTACGCGTCAAGCTATTGTCTACTTACTGTTATAGGTAAGTGCTACTACTGTGACTGCTATTGTAGTATCTTCTGCAATGGACTTCCAGCTTTTGTTTTTGGGGTTGGATTCTGTCCATATCTACGGCTATCCATCCAAACTCATTCAAGCCATAAGTTCCAACCATTCAGAAGTTACTAAGTATATCCTATCTTAGTGGTTCACTCCTCAATCCAATAAGATCCATTTATTTGGCACGCACTCTCTCGCGGTTCGGTGATCGACCATGCAAGCGCCCACGGTCCCCCGTGCCGATCCCAAGGAACAGCTCAACGCATCAGGCTGCGGTGTGACTGTCTTAGCGGCTAAAAAGTCACAGCCCTGGGGATGATGGGCAACGAGACAACAAGAGTTCGTGGCCAGCGTTTATCTCATGCACGGTGGGCCGCGTAATAATATCTCCGGCCGCGGCGTTGCGAGTAGATATACTCCGATATGCTTTGAGGGATTTACTCCGTCGTAGATAGTATAGTTTTATATTCGAGGGTCGTACGATTGTTTCTTCGTAGATACTATATGAGAAAACAACAGTATCTGGAGTAAATCCAAGAAGTAAGTAGCATATCAGTCAAATGGACATTTAATCAAATATTTCATTGCTAGCTAGTCTGCACCCAGAGAGACTAATACTATTGATTCAAGCACCTAAATAGAACAACCTAGTAGCTAATTTATTATGCGGAGTAGCCAGATAGGAATAACAAACTGACTTGAAATCCTATACTAACTTTTCCCCCTTCCACACCTACCGGGATAATCCTATAAAGAGATCTAAGCTAAGGAAGCATAATCCCCTATGTCCGGCTATCCATATCCCAAGCTTACGCTGTGCCTATACTTCCTGAACTTTTCTTCTTCTAACTCGCACCGCGGAGTAAGATGTGAAGATTGCAGGCCGGCCCTGTATGTGAACATTCAATGAACTATTGAACCATGCCATAGCCATCGTCATTCAGATGACGTATATCATTTAGGAGATTCCGAAGATTTGACTCTAGATGATCATAATACGCACGCTCTGTTTTCCAACGAGAAGATAAGATTTAAGAATCATGCCCTCATGATGGTAGACGAGACGTCATCCCCTGCAATTACTCACTAGACTGACAGGCTGTAGCTGAGATTAGATCGAGGTTTCATGTGAGGAGAACTCGTCAATCTATCTATCTACTTTTTCCTATCTACCTAGGTTCTAAATGAAGGTCCAAGCCTAGAGATATGGGGAGCGTATAGTAGCTAGTGTGCTAGATCCCATTGCAGTATACGGGTGGCTGTGATATGCTTGGACACTCGGGTGTCTTTGCTAGACAATCAGTTGTCCTGATGGTTCTGTTCAGCGAGTTTGTTGTTTTCGTATGGTAGAACTAGAATCAATTACAGTTACATCGTATGATGCTACTATGTAGTAGGTATTAGGGATTCTCCACGGCATACGTACCTTAGGTTAGTATATGTGCCTGGTCTTGCATACAGCATCGTTTAATATACAGTTACTGAGCCTCACACTGCCTCATACGGAAAGAAACAAAGGGCTGCCCTGCAAGCCCCAGGCAAGAATCAAGAAGCTGCTGATCGACGGACCCCTGCATGCATGTATGATACTTCCCAGACAGAGAGTCTACGTAATACATCCAGCGGTCGAACAAATTGTTCTCTATTCATTCAATCATGCGTGTTTGGTTAACGTATTCTTCGTCCTGCTATCTATCAGGCAATTCAATTCCCAAATCTCACGACAACGCTAAATCCTCAACCCGAACCAAGCCACATCCCATCCCAGCCGCAGCCCACCCAGCGCACACCCGATTCGGGTTCCACGAGAGCGCAGTGACGTGTGTTCCTTCATCGAATACCGTAATCACCGCCGTGCCATTGATCAGTCTCGGGTCACCGACCAGATTACGCAGCAAGCTGGTGTGTTCGGCGCGGTAACCGTCGTGAAACCGACTAGTGCCTGTGCCCGTACCTGAGCCTCGCACCCATTCATGCTGGAACCAAGTCTGTTGCCATTGTTTCTCCTTGGCGTGCATCATCCGGCGGAGGGGATTCGTGGCTTGCACGGTACCGCCGGTGCAGCCGACGAGGAGGCTTGGGTGCCAGAAGCTGCAGGGTCCGAGGGCGGAGATCATACTCGGGAGCCGAGCCACGGCGGTGGAAGTGAAGAAGCGGCGGATGGCGAGGAGGCGCAGAAAGTCGTTCTCGTCGCCCGAGACGAAGGAGTGCAGGAGTGGGGAGTAGGTGAGGTGCGCGGTGCCTACGCGCATGCGGTTTGCATTGACGCTGTCTTTTTGAGGGTCGATAATGGAGGTGAGTCGGCTTTCGCCGTCCATGGAGGTGGTGCTGATGAGATAGGGATGGGTTGGGTAGGCAGAGGCAAGGTTGAGAATCCATGTCGAGTGCAGTTGCTGGTAGAAGTAGGGGATGGGATTGGAGGGTGAGGATGGCGATGAGACGATGCTCCAGATGGCGACGAATCCGTTGGCACAGCCTACGGCGATGTCGCTCGGGGAGAGCCATGTTACAGATGTACATACGGTCGAATGTGGTTTTGCTTCGAAGACGGGGGATTGCAGTTTATCTGAGCTGTTAGTATGGGACTTAGCTTTATTCTGGTATTTGGACGTACAGTATTCGGTCTGGTTTGGGTCACGACTCAGTTTGACATCGATGACCCTCACCCGGCCATCTCCCCATACACCTGCCAGAAGGCCGACGCTCTTCTGCGCGTCTTTGTCGTCTTCGTTCCGCGGGCCTCGAGGCATTGGGCACCAGGCCATTCGCCTCAGATCGCCCCAGTCAGTGCACAGCGCGAGGCGTAATCGCGGCTTGGATGTCATATCGATTGTCTTGGTCAGTGACGCGGCTTCTTCGGCCTTGAGCTCCCAAAGCTGCAGGGCAGACGGATAAGGCGCTGAAGGTCTGAATGCTGGAGCCGCCTGGTCCTTGTACGGATCTGGATACTGCTCCTTTTGGTCCGGTAGGATTGGAGCCACGACGGACAGATACTGCGTGAGGCCAGTTTGATTTGGCACCCAGGCCAAACATTGGACTTTGTTCCCTAGATTAAGAAGCCAACCCTCTCGTTTCCTTCTCTTTCTTTCAGGCTGTTTCGTCTTGGCTTGCTTCCCAGCCTGCTTCCCCTGTTTCTGAGATGTAGAAGCATCGTCCTCCCATGCCTCGCCAAAATCAAGCACATCATGCTGAGCGAGGGAAAAGACCTTCTGCTCATCAACCGGGCCAGCGAGCACGGTATGTGGTCCTCTGGAACTAGGAAAGTAGACCGAGCGAGCTTCATTCTCCTTAATCTTCTGGATGCGCTGCCTTTTCCTAAAGTGTGCACCCACATCCTTACTATAGTACCAATCCCATGCACGGGAGCTTTCCCGTTTCATGTCCTCGGCCTCCAAGCCAAACGAGTTCCCATATCCATAATCCGGCATATCATGCGACTCATTCAATGACTCGCGCGTCGGAAACGTAGAATCGACTCCCTTGTACCAGCGATCCCGCGCACTTATAATGGAAAGTATATCCCTCTCATCTGTGCCAAATGTAACGCGCAGATGAACTGCCTTTCCAACATGCTCAAGAGGATTCCACGATCCGCGCGAATGCGTCTCTTCCCCGGGCACAGCAAGACTCCCATCCGGACGACGCCGCTTAACGCTGCTGCTAGGCTTTGGCGTAGCGGCAGCAGCGGGCTTTTTCCGCTGACGACGACTGCCCGTGTCAACATCTGAGGCTGACGCATCGTCGTCTTCCTCTGCATCTTCATCTTCATTCTCAAGGACCATTTCCACGTCATTATCGTTGTACTCATCATCGTCGTCATCGTCATCTCCGTTGGCATCATCCATTGCAAAGTCTTCGTCCGAAGAACCCTCGTCCGCGACAGCTTGTTTAGCCTTTCCCTTGCCCTTTCTGCGCTGCGGGGTTTCGGAGGTAGCGGGGCCCTCTCCTTCGTCGCTAAAACCGGCCGCTTCGAAAGGGTCATGGATGTATTTTGTCCTGGCGCTAGATGCGCGATTGGACCTGCGGGGCCGAGGCATTGTGAACTGGGTAGGGTGCGGAGTACTAAGTGCGACGATATCTTAGTGGGTTAAATAGAATGTTCGTCGCATGGCGCATACGCTGCGGTTGGCGAGTGGATTTGTCGGCTGCTGGCGGGCAATCGGAGCGCTAGCTATCAGGCATGCTGTAGACGAATTGTGTCTTTTGATTGAGAGCTCGACGCATGGATGAGCGGGGAGAACCAAGGAAAGAAAAGAAAGATAGATGAAATGAAGAAGATGGATGGAGCTATGCTGTTTTCCTGTTTCGGGCAAGTGGGCTTGGCGGTACCTGTAAATACGGCATTACGCCCCACCAGTGTGATACCAGCATCGTTCGGACTGACTATAATATTCACCTTGTAGAAGTATAAAAAGACGGTGGATTTGATCAAGGAGCAGTGCATGAAAAGTATCATAGGGCCCAACTGCTGCATTTTGCCCACCGGTCCTGTTTTCCTTATGGCTACCTTTCAGCGAACCTCCGTATCAGCCTGTCTACACTAGAAGACCCCCGCTCATGCAGCAGTGGGCCGGCAGTAGCTGCGCATCTCTTGAACCACAATCCATCGCAGCTAGCAGCATGCTCTAACAACCTTCTATCTACCATCTATTTTGACAAGCATCTACCCTCCCATCCCTTCTCCAGACAGACTTCCTCACTCTAACACATTTACAAGCACAACCAACTAAGATGTCTCACCCCGGCATCCTCCACCACTACGTACCTCCCCCCTCCATCCCCCTCCAAATCTATACCCAACTAACAAACCACCACAGACACCCCGCCTCGTCGCCTTCGAATTCACCCCTCCCAACAGCACCCCCACCACCAACGCGCTCCTCTTCATCGGCGGTCTAACCGACGGCCTCCTCACAGTCCCCTACGTCCCAACCCTCGCCTCCGCCCTCTCCTCCACCCCCAACAACACATGGAGCGTCTTTAACGTCCTCCTCACAACCTCCTACCAAGGCTGGGGCGTCAACAGCCTAGACCGGGACATCGAAGACCTCGCCCAATGCATTAACTACATCCGCAAGCTCAAAGGCCCCGAATCCAAAATCGTCATAATGGGCCACTCGACCGGATCGCAAGACGTGCTTCACTACCTCTCCGCCCCGAACCCGATCCCACAAAACCCCTCCGTCAACGGACTCCAATACCTCACCAGACCTCCCGTCGACGGCGCAATCATGCAAGCCCCCGTTTCTGATCGCGAGGGGATGCACATCACCATTACTACGGCCGAGGCGCGAGGTGCGTACGAGCAGCTGGTTGGGCTAGCGAAGGCTGCTGTGGCTGAGGATCCGAGAGCTATTTTACCGTTGAATTTGACGAGTTTGGTGGGGTTGGATGCGGAGACGCCGGTGAATGCATGGCGGTTCTTGAGTCTGGCGAGTCCCGACAGTCCGGGGTCTCCAAGCCAGGATGATTTGTTTAGTGCGGATCTTGGGGATGAAAGGCTTAGGGAGACGTTTGGGGTTGTGGGGAAGAGGGGATTGTTGAGGGGAAAGCTTATGGCGCTGTATTCGGGGGCTGATGAGTATAGGATGCCTGGGTTGGATGTGGAGGGGTTGATGAAGAGGTGGCAGAGAGCGACGGATGAGGGGGCTGGAGAGGTGAAATGGGATGCGGAGGGGAGTGCGGTGGTTGAGGGGGCGAGTCATAATGTGCAGGATGTTGGGCAGGAGGAGTTGGTGGAGAGGGTGAGGGGGTATTTGGCCGGAATATAGCCTATATCTATAGATAGATAGATAGACAGACAGACAGCAGACCGACATGCATTGAACCCAGTAAATACTATACAGAGCACTCAAAGTTATATAAAAGAAAAAAGAGGGTATAAAAGAAACCACCCACACCACCCCCAACATCCTCTTAATAGTAAATCATATCAAACCTTCAACCAAAGGTTCACCACCCCCTTCAAATACTCCACAATCTCATGACCCCCCAACTTACTCTCCCCATACAACCGATCCACAAACGTAATCGGACACTCCGCAACCCTGAACCCCATGGCCTTAGCCCGAACCATCATCTCCATCTGAAAACTATACCCCTTACTCTGTGTACTATGAATGACCTTCTCCAGCACACTCTTCTTATACAAGCGAAAGCTTCCCGTAAGATCACTCACCCCAGGCATCAACATCACATCCGCAATGAGATTCGCCGTGCGGGAGGTAAACTTCCTGAACAGGTCCCATCCGTACACACCACCCTTAATGCCATCGCGACTGGCGTACCGTGTGCCCGTCACGATATCTGCGTCCCCTAGCTTCTGGATGCGAATCATCTCCGGGATGAATTTCGGGTGGTGGCTGAAGTCGGCGTCCATGATGATGACGTAGTTGCCTGTTGTGAATTGAAGGCCATGGATGTACGCCGTTCCCAGGCCGAGTTTGCCCGCTCGGGGGTGGAGCAGGATGTGGTTGCTGCCGTAGTGCTTTTGGAGTTGGCGCGCGATGTCCAGAGTGCCGTCGGGGCTGCCGTCGTCAACGATGATGATTTCCCAGTTTAGATTGCTATCGTTTGTCTTTTCGTTAGTAATGGGATTGAGGGGATGGGGGGAGGGAGGTGATGGGGAGGGTGTGTACTTCTCGCGAAAGGTCCGCTCCAGGAGCCAGACGATGATAGGGAGGTTCTTGCGCTCGTTGTAGGTCGGCAGGATGACCGAGTATTTGTTTTCGGCGGCGCCCATTGTGAAAAGTTTTGGGTCAAGGGAATGGATTCAGTTAGATAGGGTAGCGAATGTGTGTGTGTGGTGACAGACAGATTGGGACTGTTGTCGTCAGGAGAAAAGAAGGGAAGTGGTGAGTTAGATTAGTTGACTATTATTGCCGCGGGAGATCCGCGTTCGTCGTAACGTGGCCAGTCTAGACTACTTACTACTTACTATCCGGAGCAATCAAGAGCACGGACTTTCCCTTCCTCTTTCTCTCTCACTATAGGTTAACTACTTATTGTGGTCCTATTTACTCCGTCCACAATCTATTCCACATCACAAATAAAAACAAAACAGAAAGAACATATACATACATACAACACAATTAAAACAGGCCAATTAACTACCCACAGCATCAACCAGCTCGTTCCGTCGGCCGATCCGCCCTCTTCTCAATCTCCTCATTATGCCGTCTCACATCTTCGGGCGCATCTGCCGTGGTATGTCCATCCTTATCGACATACGGCGACTCGTCCCCATCAGCTAGAGTCGGATGGGCCTTGTTCGACGGCTGCTTGCTGCTGCTGCTGCTACTGCCGCTGCTGCTCTTCGCAGTAGAACTGGATCCCGTGTCCGGTGGAGGTGGACCTAGAATAGATTGGACGTTAATCGGCGTCTGGGAAGAGTAACCTTGCGACCGGTGTATAACGTTACTGTTGCATACCTGGGTGCTCAATGTCTCGCGTAGGTTGGTTTCGTGGGTTATCGGGTTGCTGGGCTTCGGTTTCGCCATCGCCCCCGTAGGAGCTGTGAGCGTAGAAGCGTTGCCCCAGGGGGTAGGCACTGCGAAGGGGAGCCAGTTGGCGGGCGGCGATAGAGGGTGTGGCTCGTAGGGAAAGGCGGCTACGGAGGAAGACGCTCATGGTGGGATATGAACAAACTTGGTAATTGATGGTATATCTGTAGTGAAAAGTACACAATCTAGCAGACAGACAGATAGATAGATCATAGATAGTTGATAGTAGTTTGGCAAAAAAAAGATAGTATGGAGTAACTTCAATCAGTGGCTGGTCGCCTATATAGTAGGCAGAGGTCGATGTCGCGATCGTCATGACGTTGCCGACCGGTCATTCCCTCGCAACTCATGGATCGACCAAACATCGCCCCAGTTCTTAGGATTTACCTGTTCCACTGAGTGGTCGCCCTCATTACGCTCGCCCGCGAGACCCAAAACATTTATTGAACCCAGGATTTATTATCTAGGCTGATTCAGCCCATGAGAGCAGATGAATTCGGACAATATTGCCAGAACATGTCGAAATGCCACATACCAAACGCCATCCCATTGATGGCCGCCGATAACAGAAGTAATAGAAAACAAAAAACCAACAAGAAAAGGTCCAGAAGTTGTGGGCCTCGACGGAATTAAACGAATGACTTGTCATGCCCGTAGTGTATAGTGCCTGGCACCGTTTCCCACCCAAAAACGCCGCCGAACTGCTGTCGGACAAAAATGTCAAAATGTGCCAATGTAACCAGGCAAGCCAAAATCAACCAGAAATAGCTTAAGGACAAAAGCCACCCAGATTCAGGGGTGTGCGATACACGGAATGCACGCCGTACTCAGTCAACAATACCGGATCTCATACCCAGGAAATAAACCAGCAGTCTCGCAAGACAATCATTCGTATGCACGTGAGTCGAGAAGAAAATCGTTCCTTGGTCTAACGCCGACGCCGTGGTTGTAAGAGACCACGTTGGAAAAATAAAGACGCTCTCGTTTCATCTTCGTTCTTCGATTTCATGCCCCGTCGCATCAGTCCGTCAGGGATATGCAATAGCAGACACTCTCATATTCGGCCTTGGCCGTATATGTCTGCGATGTCCCCGAGGCGGCTTCCACGGTCGTCGTCGGCGTGGGTTGAACCACCTTGATTTGTACTGTCTCTTGCGAAATCGGACCGACTTGGCCGTCATCCAGAACCTGCATCTGCTGGCAGTATGGATTGGCGGCCGAAGGGTTGTCTCGCTTCTCCTCCATCTTGATTCGGCGAGGGTAGTCGGCGATGCTGTCTCTCTTGGAGTGGGAGTTCGAGCTCCCTTGAGTGGCCTGCGCTATCTGAGTGCTTGTCGTCGTCACAACTGCGGTACTGCTGTACTGATATTCCTTGGTCGTCTCGTTGATGTACAAAAAGAACTCCATGACCGTGCTATTCCACCAACAGAACCATGGCTTGTCGCCGGCCTGAGCCGTTGCCTTGCGACTCAGCATACTCGACACAACTTCATCTTCAGTCACATAATCTCGCTTCGAGGACGAGCTCGACGGGAAGCTATCCTGCGGCACAATGACCAATTTATCGTAGAACGTCATGAATGTCAAAGCAGGGCCAAAGCTGAGGTCATTAGAGTCCATCATCATACTCAAATTCTGAGTAGGGTTAGAGAAGACGGGCTGCTGGGCACCGTAAGTGAGTGAAGAAGAATAAGCGCTGTCGTATGAGTCTTCGAATGTGATATTGCGTTGCTCGTCCGTGCCTCCAACGACAATGGGGATCTTGCCCGAATTGAGGCAACCCCACGACACCCGGTAGTCCGAATCAGCCACGCAGAATTTCGACTGGTTTTTAGGAGATGCGGGAATAGCGTATTGGCCAGTAGGGAGCGTCAGCAGATTGGTGGGCGTGGCCGTCACTGGAGTTGCGTCCATCCTGGGAGTCTCCGTCACCGTCACGATATGTGGGCGACTGGGCTTGTCCCCGTGGTCTTGCTCAGCTGCCTTTCTTGCTCCTAACACGCCGCCAATAATACCACCAATGCACCCTCCAATAAGCATAACCACTCCCACCAAAACTAGCGTCCAGACCGGCAATCCACAACATGCCTTTTTCTTGCCTTTACTCTTTAATTTCTCTTCAAATGCCATGACCCCAGTGACTGGCGGCTCTTCTAAGCCTCTATTTCCATTACCGTTACCGTTACCGATACCGCCTCCACTGGTTGTATTCTCCATCACTAGGGTATTTGAGGAAACCTCCGACATGGGTGGTCCAGCACGCTCATTATGGAGAGTTTCATCTTGTATGATGCCAGCATCATTGACGGTCGCAAAGGTGCCCTCCACTTTAGGAACAGCATTTTCGGGATAACGAGAGTACGGAGGAAGTTGTTCAGTATGGCCATCCGGTCCAATGAGGTCGCCAAGATCGTCATCGGCTCGGTTAGGTGGTCGCTGATATACCTGCGCGTTGTGTCCGGGAAAGCCAAGGGGGACCATGGAGTTGTCAATTCCGTCATCCTCTGGCACCACGTTCTGTGGGTACATCGCATACGGATGCTGAGGGGCAGTCGTGTCCTCCAATGGTCGGTCCACTGGCCGTAATGTCGATGTGGTGGCCACACTGGGAGAGCGACTAACGCCGACCTGCGGGTACATCGCATACGGATGGCTGGGACCGGTTGCCCCTGTGTAAGGGCTCAAAGCCCGAACGGGCATGGAGAAACGCGAGGAGGCACTTTGGCTGCGACTGGTGATGGAAGGAGCGGTGGACGCGACGGAATTGCGATTTGCTAGATCCACCCCCTTCGGAGGAAGACTCGATCTGTGGGGAGTTTCATCGAAAGAGACCCGAGCCTCATCGCCGAAAGGGTCCTCAGCTAGCTCGGCATCAGTTGGAGGAATGGTGTTGTAGGCCTTAGGCTGCTGCTGTTGTGGTACTGAGCCACGAAGGGTGTTGGAGGAGACACTGGAGGAGATGGAGGGGCTTCGAGGGGTGAGAGTGGCTTGTTCGGAATCAATAGGTTCTAAGGAGTATTCATCGGAGAAGACATTGGGGTTGGAGGAGCGAGCAGACATGGAACGATGATGCATTGAATCGATTTGTTGAGACGGGGGTCGCGAGGACTGCGAGAAGGAACGGTTGTGGTCGGATGATAGACGCCCAGACATGGCGTTAAACAGCCCTGTCGGGCTACCTGTTTGTTTCAATCAATCTCTCAGAGGGATCGGCCAGTCACCTGAGTCGACTGAAGCCGGTTATCGAGTAGGGGAGATTGAGAGTAAGAAGGAGGGCGAGAGAGAACAAGAGCGGGAAAGAGTGACGAGTCGGAAGGAGAGGAAGGGGACAAAAGAGTGATAAAAAAAATCACGACAGCCACAAGAAGCGAGGAATCTAAAACGATAGGATGAGGATAGAGAGGATTAAGCGTTGGTGGGATGAAGTGGGAGAGGGTAGGATGTCGTGATGGTGGTGGTAAGTGGTGGTGATTAGTAGTGGTAGTGGAGGGAGGAATGAGAGAAGAGGAGAAGGGAAGGGGAAGAAGAGCCGAGTTTCAAGCCAGTCAAGGACAGTTCAAGTCAGTCGACGAGTTGGGGACGGAGTGGCTGCTGCCTCAGGAAGCCAGGGCCGCCCGAACTGTGGCCGAAGGGGGTTTAGCGCGGACTGGAAGTGGGCAAACGAGCGAAAAAAGTGGGCGGCCTGTTTTCTTTGGGGCCCAAGAAAAAGAGAGTGACGCTGGATTGCAACAATAAGAATAATAATCAATCAATCATCAAGCTAATGAAAACGAAAGGATGGATTTGACATTGAGGAAGTAATAAATAATAACTAACTATCAAACCATTCATTCTTATTGCGTAGTCAAGAGATAGATACTCCGTCCCCTCCCCGTCATAGTCGATGTGTGTTCTATTTGTGGTATGTAGCTACTTGCTGCGCCTCGCCACTACGGGTTACTTACTATCTATCTATCTAGTCGCGCTGTCGTAGTGACAGATACGGGGTAGTCTACCTCCTTCTTTCTGTTCTGCCGTACTGGCCTAGAACACTCATTACCCACTTAATTTTATGTAGGTAAGAATAATCGAAAAATGAAGGGGGGGAAAAAGAAACAAAAAGAAAAGAAAAATTCGAATGACAGACGTGAAACGCTGGCCATGGTTCTTGTCATCTTTCCAGGCCTATCCGGCTGAAAGTATGAGGCAAAGTTCCCCGGCAAACAACCGGCGTGGAGGCGTGACCACTCAAGTAACGCACCCACTCCCACTCTCCTCTCTCTCTTCCCCCTCTCCCTCCTTGCGAATGAAGCAACTTTGGGCCTGAAACACCACCAGACCTTTCTTCCCCCCCATCGTCGTCAGAGGCGCCTGCTGCAGCAGAGATGCCGGTCGCTTCTTCCCTTAGTTCCAAGCGGTGTGCTCCGGATTCATCCCGTTCCTTGGCAGCATGACTTCGCTAATTCCCAAGTATCACATCTACGGACCTTACCAATTTCCATAGGTGATCTTGATCCGATCGGTGGATATTTTGTTTTTCTGCGTTGTGGGCGCTTCTTCTTTTTCTTCTCCTTCTATTCCTTCTTTCCATTCATTCATCTTCCTTGGTCCCTTGATCCGCCCTATCCTCCACAATCAAATATGCCAAACTGAGCTAAACTAACCGTACACATGGAAACCCACAGCTTCTTTGCCTCGATCGGGAATGATCCGCCTCGAGTTCGGACAACCTCCAGGAGGCGGACTGTCTCGCTGGAGGCAAAAAGCGAGGAACGAGAAAAACTAAAACGGCCAGGACCAACCAAACTAGCGGCCACTACTGGAGACAGAGGGGTCTAGTCATATCCGCCCGAGTCTGAAGAAGGGTTCGTGAGGTGTTGCCGGTGGAACCCGCGAGGACCTAGTTGAAGTAGTGCATGGCTCGGAAAACTCTATCTGGCCGAATTCGGAAAGGCGGGCGCAATCCCTGGCTTGGGTAAGGATGCACGCATCTTCAAAAGATCTACGCGGTCTGTTATCATGCGCTCGGGCGATTATATCATAGGAATGGACGGACGCTCTTTTCGCCGTTTCCGGCCTGTCACACAGGCTTCGTGTCAGGTGACGACAGACACAGTGGATGAACACAATTACTGAATTATCATTATGCTAAGTGCAATAGTCTAAGCAAGTGATGGTAGCCTGGCTCGCTACCATGCATGATCTCCTGCCGGTCATCTATACCATGGGGTGGTCTGGATGGTGGGCGACCCATGGCATCCGGTAGGTACCTGTCTGTCAGGAACCATCTAATCAGGAGCCAATGATTGAGATGGGTGAAAAAAAGAAAGAAGGAAAGAAAATTTGGCAAAAGAAAAGCAAACACCGAAAGGGTGGACAGCTTACATCACATAGACCGGAACCTCAAACATGCAATAGACACGACAAAAATATGGGAATGTTCACAGAAATGTACACACAACAAACACAAGGAATCTATGTATTAGACAGCATCCCCAAACTCAAACTTGTACAGAGATGGTACTTTTGTACATAAACGAGTGGATACATGCCAGGACATCCCCGTCGACAATTTAGATCTTGGCCGCAGTGGCGCTCTGCTTGAATTGCTCTAGCTTGATTCGCATGTCTAGCCCCGAGCACTCAAAACTATCCCATGCACGCCGGTTCCATTCAGAAACCCACGGGTAGTCCACAACAACTTTCTGCAAGTTAGGACATGAGTCTAGGATGTGCTGGACTACATTTACCCAGCTTCCGTGCGCCAGGCCAATGGAGTGAAGGTCCAGTATCCTGAGGGTATTATTAAAGCGTGTCAGCCACATAATCAGATCTTCCGGCTCAACTGTGAGATACGAGAGCCTCAGCTTCTCGAGCCGGTTAGTTCGTATGTTCGCGGAGCTGGCTAGTTTGAATATTTTTGAGCGACGTGCAGGGGTATCAGCTAGACTGTGAAGGGAAAGGCTTCGAAGTTCTGGGGCGTGCTGAAGGATGTGGGAGAGAGCGGTACCTCTTGAGAAATCTAATGAGGGCGACTCTGTAATCTTGAGCGACTTCAGGCGCCTCCACACCCGAGCAAGGTTTGGATGCATGATTGACTTCTCGTTCGTCCGCGACTTGACAACCCTGCTGTCCAGTATGAGTTTCTCAACTGGGATGGTGTTTTCAGCAAGGACCGCATAAAGAGCGTCCTCGATGTACACGACTTTGTTCTCCAAAGTCGACCCTGCCCTGGTGAGCGTGAAATGAAACTCTTTGCAGTTGACTAACCGATTCAAGTCCTGCCTCAATGCTTTCATCTCTGGAAGCTCGTGAAGGGCCTTTCGATCGTAAGATAGGCGCCCCGAACTTACCTTCCGTGCAGCGCTGTGCCCGATATAGGGCACAGTTACATGCAACGACCTGGGAAGGTGATTGATGGTCGGGTCAATTGCCAGAGTGTGGATGTTTTCAATCTCCCTGGGTGTGAGTCCGGTATGTTTCTTGGCGTGCAAGGAAGCAAGAATGGACGAGTATGCCAGTCTGCCCACCCTCTGAGAGACGAGGTAGAGGCTATAGAGCTCATTCTGGTCAAGATAGCTGGCGATCATGTCGAAGATCTCTGCAGGAAGAGTATCGAGATTCTGAGGTGCATTTCGGGGTTCTTCGGTCACTGCCTGCTCAGTTGTTGGCTGCTCACTTGATGACGGCTCGGTCGATGGCTGCTCGGATAGTGACTGGGATAAAAGTGACCTAACATCGAAGCCTGTGGGAGACCAGGATCTGGCCGAAGTCTCGTTATTTCGGACACACAACGCCCACTTCCCCCAAGAAACGCAGTTGCCCATAGCGAGTGACTGGTGCCGAGTGATGGCACGGATAAGGGTCTATGTCTGAGCTATGATGCCAGCTCGCTATAAATGATATCGACATATTCTGTCGTGGACGGCATGAGATGTCTATATACTAGGCCAATCAGACCGCAAGCCATGGTGACACGAGGATTCCATGACTTCCTAGAGTGATTGATTACAACTATAGCTTCTGGAAGATGGCGAACCAGGCAATGAGAAGGCCATGAAACAGCCGCCATCTTGTCCCTGTGTCTCAGACAATGGCGGGCTTTGCCTCTATCGAGGATTTATAAGCCGATAAAGTGCCTTTGTTCGTTAGTATAGCTTCAGATGATCAACAACGTGAAGCTCTCCATTGTCGAAGCCGTATTTTGGTTCTGATCAAGAAAGATGATTAAGCGGCAATCGTTCTTTCATTTTGGTGTTGGTACCCGGCCCGATTGGCTGAACCGTTCACATATCACAACAGTAGAGGAAGTTGCCCGTCGATGGTTCCACGCACTGGTCTTCAAAGAAACAGTGGATCTGAAAGTGGAGTTCTGGCTAGTAACAATTCACCAGTCAGACTGCAATCTGCTGAGAACCAACGATGACCAGGCCACAACAATCAAGAGAAAGACCCGGAGCCACTATAACCCCTCACAGTTCACAGCTGGCTTAGACTAGTTGTCTCAAATGGCCCACCATCGTGAACTCCCTACATTGGGTATGCCATGTGGTTGGGCTATCCGCTGTCAGGTACCCTGGACGTCCTGTGGGGAGACTACACATTCACAGCAGACACAACCGACGGAGTCCGCAGAGTCTGTCTGAAGCCCGGCCAGACCTTTCATTTAGTCCATGTTCCCAACCCCTCAATCTGGATCGTGAATTATCTCCCGCCAGTCAGGTCTCGACACTTTGGTTTGGAAAACAGGCTTAGGTGGGCATAAGGCTGCTGCTACATGTCTGACATCAGTCCCTGGGTCGTGTAACCAGGAATCGCCCAGGGCCAAGTGGAACTGGCGAAACTCGTAATCGGCCCAGTGGTACTTCTGGGATAATCCGACATCACACGCGGGTTTTCATCGGGGCCTGCAGGTTCTCGAGCTGGGGCACCCAGATTCGCTGTGCTGTTACACATCTATTGGTGGATGGGCAGTATTGGCTGCCTGAGAATGGAGTCACTGGGATTCTCCCTCCAGCGCTCTTGCACCCTAGGGATTTTGGTGTCGATTTGCAGTGATCGGTTCCAGTTCTTTTCCGATTTTGTTGTGGATATGTCTAGCAAATTGGTGGACGTATTACTTACTTTAAGCGTACTAGTGGGCATGCATTGGTTCTCGTTCACACGTCAGGCATCTTCTATTCCTTCGGTGACGCATTTATATCACCATCGCTCGATCCCACGCACGGTCTTTTCCTTTGGTCTTGCGGTATGATCATCATCTTAGCTTTGCATGTCCTCGCACCTGTTAAGAGGTCTGAGTACGAGAAGTTTCGCAAGACTCAACAACAGTGGGCTTATATGATGTGCTGATAGGGTGTCCCGCCCTGTCTGGTATCCCCATATGCGAGCTTCCTGCATATCCCATCAGATATACATTACGACTTCGTTGCTGATCAGGCAAGAATGCGCAGTCACCGTGAGCTCGGGAGGAGGTTCCCGGATAATGGTTTTCATTCTGACTACATGTCATAACCATCGCTGGTTAGGCTGAACATGCAAGTCCATTACTATTCTCATGTGACCTTTCGTGTTACGCTTCTCGTTTCCAGTGGCGCACTCTCGGTGCCATTGTGTTATGCCTCCGGTGCACGAGGCGGCTGTAAGCCCCTTGGCGCAAAGCAGCATGGTCGTATCAATGACGATTGGTTTGGTACTCAAGCTTATTTACTGTACTCCATGGACAGGGCCACTGGAGCTGAGGTCTACAACTCCGGGGTCTTGTTGTGCAGTCAACTATAAGCGCTTCACGATACTACCCTTCATGAGTGCTTCCAGGTGGATATTCCAGCCGCGGTACCTCTATACTATCCAACCATGTGCACATGGCTGGGTGTCACTCAGCTGAGAGCAGGTGGGAATCCTCTGTATGATTGCCTGTAGCTGGCGTGTACTAGTTTTGGGGTACCATAGTACTACTATCAGCACTGTTCGTTGAAAATCACCGGTAGCCGAGGGTTGGTGGCATGACTTGTGCATGATCCTACGGAAATATATCTCCACATACCCAGTAACGCCGACGGAGGACTCCAATGCGACCCAACCACTAAGAAAGCCAATGACACCATATGAACCTAGATGATCAAATTGAAATAACGGCACAAAGTAGTATACTATAAACCTGAGCTCAGCTGGTACCATATCACCAGGCTTCACAGTGAAAGAACAAGAGGGCATAAGCGAGAAATGAGAGAAAGAACGCGGGGTAAGCAAAGCTAGGATTACTATCATGATCACCAAGGTATAAGAGTGCCATAACAAACTCAAATCTCAATGAAAGAACAATAATCATCCGTGATTTATGAACTATTGTTTGTATTCATCAACATAATCTCCAAGAACAATCGACGAGCTCGCTTACTCTCCATATGGAACCACGATCAGCACGATATGGTTTTACCTAAGCGAAGCTACGGAAAGCTTTCAACAAATGGGCCTATAGCAATTGGTAGCGCGTACGACTCCAGATCGTAAGGTTGTCCGATCGAGCCGGGCTGGGCTCATTCGCATCTCTTTTTGCTTTTGCTACTTTGCGCTCCCCAGTAAGCTGGCATCTCGTAGCTTGCATCACTCACTGAGGTTATGGCCATTGGCGCCGTATTGATCAAATTTGTTGCTATTGCGGCCTTGCATCATGGCTACCCATTAGTGTGTAGATAATGAAGTAGGGGTCTGTTCAGGAAGAGTCTGGCTATCAGTTCTCCACTAAATGAGGCAACTCGTAGTCTAATTGTAGCGAATAATCATGCAGATGGCATCCCAATGTAGCAAGACAAAGTTGCAGTGGGTATGCGTGATGCATATATGCCTCAGGCCGTCACCGGTCTATCTCCGCCTCCGCGCCCAAAGGCCGACCGACCGACCAGCTTCTCCAAATTCCCCCTCTGTCTATCATATCATACCTACTCCCCCAACAAGAGGCTTCCTGCCGCTGAAGCCTGGCCGCCATGTCGGACGAGTCGAAATCGAAAGGCTTTCCGGACATCTCGGCCAAACTGTCCGCAATCCCCAAGAAGTCGCTCTTTGAACGCCAGAAAGCCGAAGCGGAAGCCAAACGAGCCCGCGAGCAAGCCGAGACCGCCGCCGTGTATGAGGACTTCGTCAAATCATTCGAAGATGACTCGCCAGCTCACGACAGACATTCCTCCGATGGACGACTGAGCCGATTCCCGCCCAAAAATCCAGGCTTTGGAGGCCCTGGGAAACGGCATTTCACGAGCTCGGGGCCGCGCTTGAGCGGTCCCGGTACTCTGGGACCACCTCCTCCGAGAAAGCGCACACATGAAGGGTTCCAGCCAATACATCGGAATCGGGATACAGCGTCGGGGGTACTAGGCTTTGATAATACTGCACCGGCTGCCGCGTCGGCTTTCCGTGCGTCGGACGATGAGGATGAAGGAGCTGGTGATGCGAAAGAGGCTGAACGGGCTGCCGCGAAACCTACGTTATATCTTGCTTCTCTACCGCCGGGGACTTCACCCTCGGTGCTCAAGTCCTTGATACCCTCTGTTCTGACTGTCGACAATGTCAAGATCCTTCGCCCCCCAGGTCAGCCTATAAACGACCGGAAATCGGTAGCCGCCATTGTCACTCTGGCGAATGAGTCTGCGGCCTCGGATATTGATAGCACCGTCAGCGCCCTGCAAAACAGATACCTAGGATGGGGATACTATTTGACAATATCGAGACACCTTTCCTCTGCCGCTATTGGCTCGACGATGCCGGTCACTGTCGGCCTGTCTTCCGCAAGCTCCCTTCCTTTTGGCGCCAAGTCGATAGCGCCCGATATCCCTGGACGACTGAATCGTGCTCCACCCCCGGGGTTGCATCGTGGAGGATTTGCGCCGCCATCGTCGTACGGATCGGCCTATGGGAGGAGTGGTCCTTCTACTCAGGTTGAGGTGAAGGCACCGTCGGATCTGAAGCAACTGAAGTTGATACACAAGACACTGGAGAACCTTTTGAGTTATGGGCCGGAGTTTGAGGCACTGCTCATGAGCAGACCCGAGGTTCAAAGGGACGAGAAATGGGCATGGATCTGGAATGCTAGAAGTGCCGGTGGTGTGTACTATAGGTGGAAATTGTGGGAGATTCTCACCAACACCCGCCCCCCTGCACATCGAAGAGGCGGAACTCAACCCTCATGCACTATATTCGAGGGCGGTGCAAACTGGGCCCCTCCGGAGGCACATATCAAGTTCGAGTATACAACACGCATGGACGAGTTTGTAACGGACGATGACTACGACTCCTCTGACGAAGAGATGTCTGATTATGAGGACGAAAAACGAAATCTTGGTGGTGCACCACCAGCAGAGGGCCCTGGCGCCGCTAACGAGGGACTGGGCTATATGAATCCTTTACAGAAGGCCAAGCTAACCCATCTGCTTGCTCGCCTGCCGACTACGCACGCCAAATTACGAAAGGGCGATGTTGCTCGGGTTACGGCTTTCGCCATTGAACACGCAGGCGCAGGGGCTGACGAAGTTGTGGAAATGATTGTGTCGAACATCATGAACCCGTTTGCCTACACCGGGGCGAACCCTGATCGCGAGGCAGAAACAGGAATTGCCCGTCGGGAACAAGCAGACCTAGCCAAGGACAATCCCGCCGAGGAAGGGCGGCCATCGACGAAGGAAAATCTGGATACATCAGCTGCAAAGTTAGTTGGGCTTTATTTAGTTTCCGACATCCTCTCATCTTCCGCTACGAGCGGCGTGCGACATGCTTGGCGGTATCGGCAGCTCTTCGAGTCTGCGTTGAAAACACATCAGGTGTTCGAACATCTGGGGAGACTTGAGAAGGATTTTAGATGGGGACGACTGAGGGCCGAAAAGTGGAAGCGCAGCGTTGGCACTCTTCTTCACTTGTGGGAAGGCTGGTGTGTGTTTCCGCAGTCAAGCCAAGAACACTTCTTCCAGATCTTTGAGAAGCCGCCGCTCACCGAAGAGGAGCTACGAGAAGAGAGGGAGAAGGCCGAGGCCGAACGCGCCGCGAGTGCATTCTCCAAGAACAAGAGCCGCTGGAAAACAGTCGATGAAGATGCTACCTCCGGCAAGTTTGATCCTGGGCGAGCCCCTGAAACGCATCCGCACCCAATGGATGTCGATAAGCCGAGTGCTGCACCGGCAGGAGCTGAGAGCTTTGATGGGGAATCTATGAGTGATATTGATGGAGAGCCCATGGAGGACAGTGACCTGGAAGAAGCAGATGGAGAGCCCATGGAAGAAGACTCTGCTCCAGAGGAAGATCCCAGAGAGTCGGAAGAGCAAATTCAAAAACCAGCCGATCCACCAGCCCAACCGGAGTATCAACCGCCAGCCCGAAAGCCGCGGCCCAAGGCCGAAGATATGTTTGCCGATTCGGACGACGAGTAATATAGGGCTTCTCGGGTATGGGTATGGGTGGTGAAGGTGGAACGATATGTCTATATTACATAGTTATAATGTCGGATTACGATACCTTTCTCGTACTATGGCATATTCCAGAGGAGCTAAGGATGTACACTATCTAGTACCTTACAGCAATGCTGGTTGTAGATGTAGATTTCGGCAACAGTGAAGTTGTAAGGAGCGAGTTCAGTGTGATGCTGCTGCCTTAAGGGTATTAAGGCACCGACCCTGGCGGCGCCCCACAATTCCCCTCGCGACGGAAATACTTTTGATGTTGATGTCAACCTCGACTCTTTCCCTCCTGTCTATCCCACTGCCACTGCCTCATCTCTTCGCATCCTCCTCTTTTTAGATCTCCTAAATAACACATCCGTCAAAATGGCCGGTAAGTTCACTCTTGCGCCGCCGCTCTCCTCGATGCGACACCCCATCTACCTCGTCTGGTGTTTTGCTGCCCCTCCCTGAGGCTCTTAGGCCCCCTCCACGGCGAACATACAACCACCTTCACATACAATCATGACAGTGAAAGCTAACGCAATGCCTTAATCATCTAGACTTCCAGAGCATCGCACGTACGTATTGTTACCTCCATTCTGGCCCCCGTCCCCCGTCGACCAGGGGATGACCTGCATGCATCGTCGCATCAGGCAGACCCCTCCGATTCCATCTGCGTCGCAGATACCCGAGTCTACCCAATAGACTGCCCATAACATGGCCTAACATATGTCGCTACGAACAGAGCAATTTGTGCAATTCTACTACCAGACCTTTGACGCGGACCGTCAGCAGCTGGCCGGTCTCTACGTATGTTGAATCACCCCGCATTCCACCATTTGCAGGCCCGAGGAACTAACCTATATATCCCCAAATCGATAGCGCGATAACTCTATGCTCACCTTCGAGACTGCCTCCCAGATGGGTGTTGCCCCCATCATGGAGAAGCTGACGGTTAGTATTATCATCAGCCTTCACTGAGACCCATTATCGGCTTACTGACCTATGCAACGTAATCATACAGAGTCTTCCTTTCCAGAAGGTCCAGCACCAGATCTCCACTCTCGATGCTCAGCCCTCTGTTAACGGCAGCATCATCGTCATGGTTACCGGTGCCCTTATCGTACGTGCCCTGCTTTTGTTGGCGGAAGATGCCTTCAATTCCTTCGCGCAAAATGAACCGAGGTTGGCTTGCTGTTCGTTTGGCTTACTTTTCGCTTTTCTTTTCTTCTTATAGGTCGACGAGGAGCCCCGCCCCATGAACTACACCCAGACCTTCACTCTCAACCCCGAGGCTGGCAGCTACTACGTCTTCAACGACATCTTCCGTCTCATCATGGGTTAAATTGCGACGCAGGGGATTGGCGGGGATTTGATGTGACGTGTGTGATGGGTGATTTAGGGGGCCCATGGCTTGGCCTATTCAGTAGGCAGCTTTTATGAGATGAAGATAATGAATTAGTTATAAGAGGATCGACACGTGCTTTTGGTTGCTGTGTTTCAATCTATTCCCCTTCCTTCATTGTGAACGTTTCTACTATTCTCTTCCTGTTCACTGATACACGCATACTATCTATCTATTTCTTTTCACCGTGGGATATAGATGGCATACTGTTCCATGTTCGAGCCTAGAACTTAGTAATGAGCAGTCAATGACATACAGCTGCGCCAGCAGCGATTGATACATTGCAGCCAAGAAGTATAGTCTATCCAAGCAAGGTATATAGGTAGGATATACATGGCATCTTGAATAGAACGGGACAAGAAGTACAGTTTTGCGCTTTTGCATCTCCAAACCACTCGACCACATACCAGACTTTCCAAAAGCCAAAATCCAACCATACAAAGAAGATCTCACTGATCCCTCAACAAAGGCGTCTCCTCCGACGGCAAGTCCTGATCATCCTCAGCCACCACCTCCTCTTCCCCGGCCCCTCCCCTCACAACCTCAGTATCCTTATCATGCCCTTCATGACTATGTCCCCGGTTTGGTCCCAGGAACTCAAAGAACACACCCAAGCAGAGCAGCGTTCCCTGCAGACAAGCCGTCACAATCAATACGCCCCATGTACTCCACCCCTTTGGACCTAATCGCGCTGCGAGACTGCCCGCCCAGACGAGACTGCCGGGCGTTTGGATGCACATCATGGGGATGCTGAGGGATCCGACGCAGCGGAGTCGCAGAGTCGTGTAGATCTGGGGGAAGTATTGGATTGAGGCGAGGAGGGCGGAGAGGATGCCGCAGAAGTTGGACCATGCCTGGAGGGAAGAGGGGCGAGTGTAGCCGACGGCGAGAGTGGTGATAAGCATGAAGGCGGCGTGGAGGATGCAGATGACGGCGACGGTTACGGCGGTGCGGTAGGTTGGGCTGGATTTGGGGAGGTGGGCGGTGTTCCGGGGGAAGAAGAGGACGAAGAGGAATAGGCTGGATGGGTTAGTTGGTGGCTAGTTTAGGATGGGATGGTTTGACGACGATGATGGGGTTCTTACATGATGAAGAAGCAAAGGCATTGGGTTCCGACTTGAAGAATTCCAAGGATTCCTGCGAAACAGCCCATCCCATTGACTTGCTTGCAGCAGGCCATGTCGTGAAGGCTTTGTTGTTGGGAGATCACGTTTGCTAGTGCCGAGGAACCAGATGTGGTTCCTAGGAGGACGAAGTACGGTGAGATGCCGAAGGAGGTCTTCATGGTGAGAATGCGGACATGTTGGGGGGTGTAGGAAAGGAGGATTCCGAAGACGATGAGGCTGATTACAGTTAGCTTCGGTATAATGTAGGATACATAATGGTTAGAGTAAAAGACGTACATGGAGAGGATGAAGTTTTTGATATCAGGCGAGGCCAGATGCTCGCATCGCGGATTGGAGAGGTCCATGTCGACAAGCTATGACTGGACCAACACAAAGTCGTGTATATACCCGATATATGGCTGACACCAGCCAGAGATAACTGTTCCAGACAGATAAAATGAATCAAGTCAATTAATTCAGCAAGCGGGACGTCGAGCACAGCTGGACCTGAAGATATACCCCGAGCATAGGGGGCGGTTTAGAGGGAAGGCGGAGGCGGCCCGAGACAGCGGCGGATTATTGGATCCTAAAACAACATTCTCATACCAGCACACACCCGCGTTGATTGGACCTGTGAGGCAGAGAAAGTGGATGAGGATGACTTGTCAGGTAGATAGTAGGTACTAAGTAGATAGTGCCATAGAAGGAGGAGGAGGAATGAGTTAGCAGTTTAGTTCCCTGACTAGCCATAACTAAGCAGTTGTTCTCCTTATCGCCCGTCTCCGCATTGCTCAAATAGGCAAGGCTGGGCCGATCGCCCTAAAGAGTTAGCGGCAGATCATGTGCCTTGCATCAGAAACATCAATAGTATATTTTGGTGTATATTGTTTGTTGCAGAGTCAACCAAGTCACTAAAGTCCCCTCCGGTCGTAGGCGGTGGGACAAAGGACTGGCAGTCAGTGAATGGAGTCAGCCAGCAAGCCAGCAAAGCTTACTCAACTGCAGCTGGGGCACTAACTATGGGCCACTCTATCATCGATGACGCCAGAATTGGGGGAAGCTGGCCTGCTCCTCGTCATACGTCACTCGATGCTCATCCCGCGCCGCCTCCCTGATTCTCTCTTTAACGAGAGATCGTCAGCTCTGCGGCCAATAAATATCTTCATCCCGGGACGTAGTGGTCTTAATCTCTCTTGCTTAAGATCTCACAATTAACAATTGTAAGTTGCCCTCACTGATACTTTATGTTTTTGTTCGTGGTGAGACGAGAGCTAACCTTGACGCTATAAGCCAACAACAACAGCAATCAACGCTCGATATAATTTCTACATCTCGCCAGGATGAAGCTCCATTTGGCTTCGTATCTGGTATTTGCGCTTGCAACCTTTGAGGCGGTTGGAGCGTCCAGCTGGTTCAGCAAGGCTGGTATGTCAACTTCTGTACCATTGACTGATTTGACTGCTCCACATCGAGACACTCGCTAACACCCCTTAGTTTACAACAAATGGCATGAGACTGAGTTAGAAAGATGGCTCTCCGATCATGGTATGCTGCTTCCTCCCATATATTCTTCCCATGAAGCATAGTTGACAACGTCTTTAGACATCCCGTACCCATCGCCGGCCGATCGCAAGGATCTCGAGTCCCTAGTGAAGTCCAACTGGGAAGCTAAAGTCCAGAAGCCCCTGGCACATGTTACACAGCACTCTCATGATCACTGGCATGATGCCAAGGAATGGCTCTTTGACACGTAAGTCTATGCGAGATTGTCCTTCCCGTAGTTAGAATGTACTAATAGTCTACACAGGTGGTCCGACTCCCAGTTGAAGGCGTTCCTTGATCGTCATGGTGTTCCTGCCCCCCAGCCTCGCAAGCGTGATACTCTTTTGAAAACTGCTCGCGAAAACTATGAGTCTATTGCCACGAAGCTTGGAGAGGCTGTCGCCTATCCTGGTAACTGGGTATACGAGCAATGGACTGAGTCTGACCTAAAGGAATGGCTTGATGAGCGTGGCTGGCCGGTTCCACAGCCCACCACGCGCGACAGGCTTATTGCATCGGTTCGTCGTAATGCTCGACTGGCCAGTTTGAACGCGAAGAGCATCGCTGCCTCTGCCTCTGCCTCTGCAGAAGCTGCGCAGGCTACTCTGAGCGATGCCCTGTTCAAGGCTTGGTCCGACTCCGATCTGAAGAAGTTCCTCGATGAGCACGGTGTCAAGGTGCCCCAAGGATCTCGCCGCAATGAACTCGTGGCTCTGGCGAGGAAGCACCGCGCCTCTCTGGTTAGCCAGGCTTCGGAGGCCTCTGCCACCATTTCGTCCACCGCTACTCAGATCATCGGAGCCGCTACCTCCAAAGCTGGTAACGAATACGGCAAAGCCACCGATGTTGCCGAGTCCAAGGCCCAAGATACCTTCGATACCGTAATTCAAGGCTGGTCCGACTCGCGCTTGAAGGCTTTCCTCGATGCGCGCGGAGTTCCCGTTCCTCAAAGCAACAAGCGTGACGAGCTCCTTGCTAAGGTGCGGCTCCACAGCCACAAGGCAGCTACTGGCTGGTCTGCTTGGACCTTTGATACTTGGGACACCGAGCATTTGAAGTAAGACTCCTACTTGGATAACTGTAGACAACATTCTCTAACATACATATAGGAAGTACCTGTCCTCCATGAATGCCAAGGCAGCCCACCGCGCCGACATTACTCGCGACGAGCTTGTCAAGCAAGCCCAGGAGAACTACGCCAAGGCATCCAAAGCCGGAGGCGCAAACTTCGCATCGGCCACCTCATACATGGCGCAGGCCACCGATGCAGCCAAGGGTTCCGCCTTCGACACCTGGACCCATTCCGATCTCAAGGCTTACCTTGACTCGTACGGCATCCCGGTCTACCAGGGCTCCGGAATCAACGAACTCCGCGCCGCTGCTCGCCGCAATGCGGAATACTTCCGCTATGGCACTTCGTCTCCTTCGGGAACCATCTTCGCTAAGATGCAAGAGGCCGGCCAGTGGCTTCTGGATCAGCTGAAGATCGGCGCGTCCAGTGGCCGTGCCCAGGGTCAGGAAGCCGCTGAGAAGGCCAAGGCTAAGGGGTCTGAGGCTGCTGAGAAAGCCAAGGCCCAGGGATCCCATGCTGCCTCGAGCATGCGGGTCGAGCTGTAAACCAGCCCACCTGACTTCTGATACTTTTCCTTCGGTGTTGTTCATGTTTGCCGGGGGCGTTGTTCGTGGGATACGACGTTATGACATCACATAATGACTGCAATCTCGGGGAGGTGGTTGACACGGTCTATGATTTTGACTGAAATCTGGCTGTTGCAAAAGTTGGGGACGGGAGAGAAGGCCGGATAGTGGAATTTCAAGTAATAAATTTTAGTTTTAGTTTTATTGAGATATTTCGAACAATGCAATCAGTGTACAACAACTCGATCATATCAGTAATGCTATCTTAAGATCCCGAAACCGTTACACTGAATTGAATTGATCCTCATTCAGCATGACTAAAATACCAAGGCTTTTAATAAAGATATGAATCGCTTATACCCGAATTTGATAATATCATCAATCCCTTGAAACCAGCTCCAAACGTATATCCATCTAGCCCTCCGCCCATCTCAAACCACAATCCACGACACCACCATCCCAACCCATCAACCACGCTCAGCCATCATGAAATAAGAATGGCAAATCAAGCATTCTCAGCCTCCGGATCCCCCTCCGCCACCAGCTTCCCCACAACCAAGTACTTCTCGGAGAAGCGCTCCTCCCACGACTGCAGATTCTCCAACTGCTCGTTATCCAAATCCTTCAGATCATCCAACGGACCCTTCAGATCCTTGGTGAGCATTTCCTCATCGAAGCTCTGGCACGCCAAACCGCGGGATGCGTCGCGACCGGCGAAGTTCTCGTAGGGTCCGCCCTGCACATTTTGTAGATTCTTCGTTAGTATCTTACTTCTATCGGAGAGGTATTGGTGTTGAGGAGAAGGGGAGAGGGGGTATTTACCGGCCCGTAAAAGTTCTTGCCGGGAGTAACGTCGAATACACGGCCACGGACAGCAAGGTAGACGGGGGCGTCGTTCTCGCCGTTGAAGGGGAGGAGAGTGGTCGGGGTGAAGGTGCGGAAGACGACGGGAGGAGGACCCTTGGGGAGGCTGACGGGGGCTTTGGGACGGAGTTGGAGGTAGACGAGGATGACGAAGAGGGAGAGGAGGATGAGGTTTATGGGGGTGGCGATTGTCATCCTTTGTATATTATTAGTGACTATGTTTTGGTTCATTGGAAGTGGTTTTGTTGTTTGTAGGGGAATAGGTGAGGGTAGTAAGCACTGACACTTCGGCGGGCGGCGGGACGGCTTCGTCTGGAGGGATGGAGTTAGTTTGCTTATGATGTTGTTGATTAGGGGATTTTATAGAGATGGGAATTACCTGGGGTGGACATGATGATTTATTTAGTGAGTGAATGGAAAGTTTTATATAGATGTGTGTGGACTTTTGGGAGAGGTGGATGGAGAAAGTGATGGAATAGAGATGATGATGATGCTGGAGTTGGAGAGCCGCGGGATTCGCGATCATGACGAAGTTGGAGAAAGGAGCCAATCAGCGAAGGGGGATTGGGTGCGGAGAAACAGGGCCGATTACGGTACTGATACGGTACGGCACGGGTTATCGGCACGTGAGATTATCCTAGTGAATGCCTGATGGGTCAGGCAATCGTGTTTCTCTCTTGTGTTTGTTTACTCTGTACTTTGTGGTACTTTGTGGATAGTCTTTGCTCGGACGATTAACCCAAAGAATATTAATGCAGAGCAGATCAACTGATCGGACCATCCTTGGAGACCGTTTGAGAGTCTGTGCGACGGAGATTGCTCTCTGGTTCACTTTACTAATTTTGGGATGCTCCTCTAATTGCGATGGAGCGTTGGGCTGCTCTCGACCATGGGGGCAGTTAAAATTAGAATTGAAGGACCATCCTCGACTAACCGACTGAGTCTGAAACAGGATCCTCCCGACTGCATCCAAGTGGTGCTGGTGCTGCTGTCAATTGCTTCTCCGTGCTCCATTCATTCATTCATTCATTCATTAATTTCATCCCTTCTACTCTTTTCTCCGCCTCTCGCACGCAGGCAAACCGGTTTGCTTTCAAAGAGAGGGGGGCCACCTTGATTAGCTGTGTTTCTTCTTTTCTTTCTTGCTCCATTCTTTCCCCTCGCTTTTGCATCTACGTGCATCTTTTTGCCCTTTTTTCTTTCAAGCCAATTGTCTGGTCTTATCTGTAGTATAACACCAGCTTTAGCCCTTTAATCAATTGTCCACTCGCTCTTCTCCACTGGTTCTCCTCCTCCGTCTTCTCTCTCTCTTTCTCCCTCCCCTTCGTCCTGCTGTACTCCAATCCAGCTCTACTCCCTGACGTGCAGGCATGTCAGCTGCATGAAACCCACCTACATTCGCCATATATTGCTTTTTTCTATGTTAATCAGCGACCGTTTTGTGTCACTCCTTGCTTAGCCATTCCACCACGATCTAGAAATACTTTAAAGGTATGCGTTGAGATACGGGTCACATTCCGGACATTTCGACTCGAGTTCTAGCCTCGCGGGGGTTTGATACTTATTCGTTGAACCAGCTTCACCACCCATTTTCATCGATTTCACGAATTTTGTCGCCGAAACAGTCCAACCGGCAACATGTGGGGGAAAATGTCTTTCCATCGTTCGCGGAAGCCCGTGATCGGGAAGCCTACACTGATCGACAAGACCCTAGATGATAGTGTCTACCGGTCTCTGTCCCCCGCTCCGGGCAACCAGAGCAGTGACACACTGGCCCATCCCAAGTCTCGTCCCGCGATTGCCCGGTAAGTCGTTTCATCCTTCTCTCCTGACGGTAATCATAGTAGCGGTGCTCTCTAACGCGTTGTAGCAACCCTACGGACTCGCTCCTTCCTGCGCAACACCCCGACACAGGTCGACGGGTCGCGTCCACCTCCCATGCCCTGGACATTGCAACTGGTGACCAGCCTCACCAGCGTTCCGCTAGCCTATCACATAATTATCTCCTAGACCCAGCTACCTTCACTCACGACCTGTATCGACCCGAAAGTGCAAGCATTTCGCCCCCTGATTCGCCTATCTCCTTCGGTCGCCCACCGGCGAGTCGCGACAGCTCGCGTGTTTCACCCATAGAAGACGACTTCAGACTCGATTCAAGCGCCGGATCCATGGAGAACAAGGAGAACGCTAGATTTGCTAGCCAATTGCCCGTCTTGCGCAAGCGCACCAACTCCCAGGCAGACCGGCTACAAACGCCCAAGTCCTCAAGAAGCCAGACATCCAGATGGGACGACTTCTCTGGCGAGCTGACGCCCAGCGACTTGAGCATGTCTGGCCAGACAACTCCTGGCAGCGTTTCGTTCCGCACCGAAATCTCGGCAAAGCCTGCCTCATCCCATAGCTCAAATATCTTTGGCTGGAGCAAGGATCACCTGAATTCAAAACGGAAACTGTCGGATCCACGCACCCGGGTGTCCAAAACCGAGAACTCGCTCCCACCCGGCGTGCGCGAGCCCTGGAAGGGGCCTAGTGGACGAGCTCCGATAATAGCGCCCATCCAGGAAAGGCCGAGGGCTAAATCACCATCACGTGTGCACATGTCCCGGAGTAACGATCGGCTGAGGGAAGCGCACAGCACGACACCCGATTATGCCGCTTGCGGGTTCGTTCCCACTGTTGTGACCACGATCACGGCTGGTGATTCCAAGCCAAAGGCATCGGAGAAGGTTAGGCACACAACGAGCAGGGATAATCTCCGAACACGAACCCCGGAGGAACCGGCTCCGATCAGCATTGTCAGCAGTGCTGAGCCACCCCGTGTGGACTTCCCCGCACCGGATGACTGGGAATCATCGTTGGCTGACCTCAAGTTGACAACTGATGACGCGGCCGAACAACCTGCAAGCCGCTTCAGCGCCACTACATATGAACCTACGGAAACGGCCAGCTCCGTTGGAAGTGCACGCGGTAGCATCGATGCCGCATCTCAGTCCACTGAACACGTCCCTTCAATCATGTCACGAAAACGACCTGTACCCAGTGCCGTCGCGCCAGCAAAGAAACCCAGCAGAAAGCCCACGCCGGCGCAAGCCTCTGAAGCCGAACCGCCCAAGGATCAGCTACAACTTACACCAGAGGAACAAATTCAGAACCGTATCCAGACGTTAGAAGCTCGCAGAGACACGCTGACGCGCCGGAGAACGAACATCGACACGATCATCTATGAATTAACCCAAGTGATCCAGCCGAGCTCTGTTGCCTACGACATGGCTGCCAGGGATGAGGTGAAGCGGACTGTCGCCAGCCTTGAATCAGAACTTGCAGAGATCAAGCGGGAGGAGCATGAAATCGGTCTGAAGCTGTTCAGGGCCTGGAAAAAGCGCGACGATCTTGGGTTTGGTGGGGGTAGCTTGTGGGTCAAACGAGTGACTAGTTGAAGAGCATCAGCTCTGGCCTTGGAATTTCTTTCTGGGTATCTTTCAGCATTCCCCTCCTTTCCCTTTATTCCTCTATCATTGTCATTTTGTTTATTTCTTTTTTTCACCATCCTTTGGTCAAATTGTCCTGCTGCTGGATATTGGCCGGGGCGTGTCTTTGAGCGTTGCGAATACCCTTGGGCAGCATACAGCGGATTTATGTTTACTTCTTCCTAACGATGCCGGTGGGCTATCTTTCCTTCTTACTGTGCCGTGCGCAATGATACCCTTTCCGCTTGTCGGGGCTTCTAATTCTGAAGCTGATCCTGGTGATTGACGGTATGGATATTTCTGGTGAATAGCAAAAGGTGCATTATTGCATGAAATGAAAAGGTGTCAAAGAAAAGTGGTTGCTCATGGAATTAGTGCTCAATGCATATGCAAATACTCCACACCGAGTTGTGGGTCGTAGCTCGTTGTATCTCGTGAGGACATATAGAACCTCGTGCCCACAGCCCGACTATTTCTTTCCAGACTTCTTGATACCCTGGTTACCAGTGTTCAGGGGGCCCTTGCCCTTGGCCTTCTCCATAAGTTCCTTCTTGGCCTTTTCCTCTGTAGATGCCAAATGTGGTTAGAAAACATTGACCACGACGGGAGAGGCTATAACAGTAGTACATACCAGCTCTCTTCTTGGCCTGGTAGGCGAGATCATCCTCGTCCAGCTCCTTCTTCTCCTTCTTGGCGGACTTGAGAGGCTTGACCTTGCCACCTGTGCAGAAGATGGATCAGTATGAGGTTATGCAAGAATGTGCTGTCAAAATGCGTGGTGGCCTCCTACCTTCTCTGCTTTGACCACCCATTGTGTCGTAGGATAAAAGTGTAAGTGAGCGTGGAGGAAGAGGAAGTCAAGTGGCGCTTGCTGTGAGCCTTGAAGGAGGGGAAGAATCGCGGCGTCGCAAAAAATCGGCTGCTTATCAGCGATTGTCCCGCGGGGAGCCACTAGTCTCCTTTGCGCTTAGCCGCAAAATCTTCGGCGGCCGCCCCTCACCGCCCGGGCATCTCCCCATCTCGACTTTGGCTTCTCTCGCAACCTCATATCGCTGCCAAGTTTCCATCCATCCAGTCTTTCCATCCTTCACCCCTTCCATTCTGGTTCTGTCGGCCTCTTCTCCCGCTTAAACAGGAAAAGGATCAAAGGGAATCTCCCCCAACAAAACAAATACATTCAAACACTGTCTCATGCTTTCTTGAGACGGTAGTCAAGGGCAAGGGCCGTGGCATTCTCAGCCGGTTGGACTTTCTCAATACATTCCTCCCAAATAACGCTTCGTCGGAAACGTTCTTGCTAACCGGGACTTACTTCTTTTGTCTCTGAAGCTGCTCGAAGGAGCCAGCCCACACCTTTTTAGTTCATCTCCAGGGTCCCTGAGTGAGCCTGGTAATATCACCATGGCGTCCCGCAGGTCGAGGTCTCCATCGACCCCTTCAGAGGGTGAGATCATCGAATCAGGTTCAGAGACGAAGGCAACTACGTCGAAACTTCCTCTTAATGGCAGCATCGTTGACCGTCCCACCAGAGCTAGTCCTGCACCCGCGACGCGGAGCAGATCGCCACGCCACCGGAGATCGAGGACCAGGACCAGGTCGACCTCGCGTACGCGGTCCCGCTCTCCCTACCGCGATTACAGAGGCTACAAGCGCCGCCGGGACGATGATTATGATGATTATGACCATGTTGACGACCGGCGATACCGACACGAGCCACCCCGACGCGTCGGCTCCCGATACGATGACAGCCGGTACTACGGACGAGGTCAACCCGACCGACGCGCGCGGCCCTCCTATTATGACTACGACCGTGAGGAGCACTACGGCGATGGCCTTCGATATAGCGATGAATCTGATCGCCGCAGAGAGAAACGCGCGCGCACGCGGAGCCGGTCGCCCTATCGCGAAGTTCGCAAGCCTAAGCAATATTCCGGGGATGAGTGGGAGTCTCCAGGAGATGGGAGTACTGCCTCTCGGAATCGCAGGAGGGGGGCTTCTATTGAACAGTCAGTGAGCGAGCGAGGGAACACTCCAGTCGTCGCTCAAGGTATTAAGCAAGATGCTGAAACTCAGAAACCTCAGGTGCAGCAAGCTTCTGCCACCTTACATGCCCATGTTGATAGGTAGGTTGCCATAAACTGGTAGTTGGTACGGAGCTAATGCCTTCTCAGTGTGAATGGGACGTCCGACACTCACGAGGAACAACCACCCGCCGAGCCCGTCGATGAAGCGGCACAGCTAGAGGCCCGTCGCAAACGACGTGAAGCAATCCGGGCCAAGTACCGAGGCCAGGCCACCCCGATGCGTTTGCAGGCACTACACATCGGTGAAAGCAGTAGAGATTCATCCACCCCGGGTGCAGATACTGCCGCATCAGGCAGTGCTATTTCTGGTGAGTTTCTTGATCGCTTGACTGCTTGACCTCCCAGAGTGTCGAAGCCTATTGGGTTAATAGCTAACAGCATGTTCCTCTACAGAATCAGCGCCACTGTCAGCACCTGAGACGCCTGCTGATAGTCCAGGGGAGTTGTTCTCTGACTTTAAAGTAGGCAAGGATGCTGATCTAATGAACGGTGCACCGGTAAACGGTGTGGACAAAGTATGGACCGTCTGCAGCAGACTACGACCCTACCTTGGACATGAAAGCGGAGAGGGAAAAGCATGATAGTCGTGGTGCTAATGAGGAGTTGTCTGCGGCGTCTTATGACGAAACGCAGACCTCCCGACAGGACATCCTGCTCCCCGATGCTGTTCCACCCCCGCCTCAGCCCAAAGCGAAGGATCCTTATGACATGTTCGCGGAGGATGATGACGATGATATGTTCGCTGAAGACACGCAGGAGACTACGCAGCCAACGCATGCATCGGCTAAGTCGGCAGTCCCGCAGCCCAAGGAGCTCGACATTAGCATGATGGACAATTGGGATGACCCCGAAGGATATTACAATGTCCGGCTGGGTGAGTTGATTAACGGACGATACCATGTGCAGCAGAATCTAGGCAAGGGCATGTTCTCATCGGTCGTACGCGCCACCGACTCCAAGACTGGTGGCTTGGTTGCCATCAAGATCATCCGCCAGAACGACACGATGAGGAAGGCTGGCATGAAGGAAATCGGCATCCTGGAGCAGCTCCACGAGGCCGACCCGGAGGACAAGAAGCATGTCATCAAGTTTGAGCGATACTTTGACCACAAGGGACATCTTTGCATGGTGTTTGAGAACCTGAGCATGAACCTGCGGGAGGTCTTGAAGAAATTCGGACGCGACGTTGGTTTGAACCTGCGAGCTATCCGGGCGTATGCCCAGCAGATATTCCTAGGACTCAGCTTGATGCGGAAGTGCAACATTCTCCATGCGGACCTCAAGCCCGATAACCTGTTGGTCAACGAGCAACGCAACATCTTGAAGGTGTGTGACCTGGGATCAGCATCCCCGGCGACGGAGAACGAGATCACACCGTATCTCGTGAGTCGATTCTATCGGGCGCCCGAGATTATTTTGGGAATTCCGTACGACCACGCCATTGATGTGTGGTCGATCGGATGCACGTTGTTCGAGCTGTACACAGGCAAGATTCTGTTTACGGGGCGCAACAACAACCAGATGCTACGATCCATCATGGAATGCCGTGGCAAATATCCGCCGAAGCTGCTGCGGCGAGGGTCGCTGACGCCGATGCACTTCGATGACATGCTCAACTTTTTGAGCATGGAAGAGGATAAGATCACCGGGCGACCAGTCACGCGGGTGTTGGACTTCAAGAAGCCCACGCGGGACTTGAAGACCCGGCTAATGGGAGGCAAGGAGACACGAGGCATGACAGACAGTGAGGCAAAAGAGCTGGCCCAATTCGTGGATCTACTGGACCGGTGCTTGAACCTCAATCCGGAGAAGCGGTGCACGCCGACAGAGGCGTTGAAACATCCGTTTCTGTCTCGGCCCAAGGCATAATTACTGTGTAGCTGATCATTTTTTCTATATGGAGTATACTTTTTTGAGATGATTGCGGGCCATCCGTTGTACATATTATGTCATAGTAGGACTTTCTTTTCACCCTTCAATTCAACAATATATCCACCGAAGATCATTGCCACCAGTATAACAGTATGACAAGACGACTCGCTACAATAGTTTAGTTCAACAAAGGGCGAGGATGCATCCGATCGTCCACTATCCATATTGAGTAATAATGGATGATGGCTGATGGATCCGGGGCACGCCCAGTGGCAAAAACCCAGCTACGGAGTGAGTCGCTACGCCCCATGGATCCATCCATGATCCGTGATCCCGCCGGGAGGCAAACCCCGACGACTAACGACGCGTGCCACTCCAGAGCCTGATCGCGGTAACGGGTACTTTCTAGAACGTCGAGACTGATGAATCATTCGATGATGTTAATGATGATGAATGAGGCTCAGCTGTGCTACAGGCTTAGTACTTCCCGCGTGCTCCACGTCCAGGCAGCCACCCATAGACCAGCTTCAGCTTCCCAGCTTCTAGTGAGTAACACACCGTTCCATGGTACGGGACCTGTTGATTGATTGATTGACTGATTGTTTGATTGTTGATTGATCGATTGACTACTCTGACGGGGATGAGATTCTCGGTCCACTTATACACTTACACTACACTTTACTCGACATGGTAAATCCGATGAGACTTGCCGCTTTGCCCCTTGTCCGTTTTCCCCCCCGGCCTCTCAGCTATACTATGTATGGATTATCGAACACTGTACTTCTAGAATTATGATGATTAATGATTAACTAAGATTGTGATCTTGTTAGTTTTGTAGATTATGGATGGTAGATCTCTTGCCGAGTGTAGTAATACTAGCGGAATAGAATAGGGGAATAGGGATCAGTATCATCGTAGGGAGTACTCTAAACGGTATTACTTTTGCTTTTTGCTTTTGCTTTCATGACATTAAGGGCGGTAAGGAAGGAAGAGAGATATCGGAGAATTAATGAGGTCATTTATTGGTTTCAGTTTTCGGGGTTTCTCCTAATGGAGGGAGTGTTGGTGATGTGTGATGTGATGTGTGAACACCCATCATTTACCGAGGCTGTCTTGTGTATCTGGGATGGATGGATGGGTCAGAAGTATATCTTTTCCTTACTACTATCATAGTAGTACTTTGTGAGGGATATGAAGAATGTGAATATTAGGAATATATTGTAGTGTGCTTGTTCGGGATACCTAACTTGATAATATATGATTGGGAAGATAGATAATATTTGCTTCTACTGAAGATTATAGCTAGTAGCTGGTATATAGAATGGGACTTATGCTGAACAAAGCTATGATAACTACCTACTACTTACTGTATAGTTACTATAGTAGTGAGCAAGAAAACAAGGCAAATATGCATATCTGCATATCCGCATCACAGTACATAAAACACATGTTCTATGTACCCTTAATGAATGAAAAAAGAAATAAACTATCACACAGCACAGCGATGGGGTCTGGCACGCCTAATAGTAATGCTCTTATGTACCTACTAGTACTTACAGCATGCAAGCAGGATAAAAACTTAAGTTTACTTGCTTGCTTGCTTACCTGCTTACCTGCTTACATAGCCACTTTCATGCCTGTAGTTACATGAACTGACCGCAGCCATCGTCACAGCCTTAGTACCTACGTACATATATCATCTACTCGGTGTATCCACATAGTTACCGGTTAAGCGCTGTGCTGCTCCGTAAAACTAGGTCCAAGTCCTAATGATAATAATAATAATAATAATCGTGGTTCTCAACCGCTGATCTTAATTTCAGGGTTAAGTTCGGAGTACTTACTTATAAAAAGCAACCATCATATTTAGTATTACTCCGTATTTTATGGAGTACGTAGTCTGTCTCTAGTACATGTCTCAATAGACAGCAGGGGTCTGTCTGTCTGTCTGTCTGTCTGTCTGTCTGTCTGTTGAGCGGGTAAGTAAGGCGAAGGCTGAAGTGAAATGAACCTGGCTAGTTAGTTTAGTTACTTTGGGAATTCTCCGTGGACAGGCAGGCAGTAACACACGCTTGGGCTGTTATCATTGTGTGATTACGATTAGAACTATAAGCCAAGTGTACTCCCGTAGATTCTTTATTATCCGGTGGTCTCTACAACACAATGTCTTTGGCTGATATATAGGGGAAATGGGGCTGTGGATCGGAACTGCTTTATATAGACGATGGTGCATGACCCTGCAAGCCTTGCAATGGGGATAATAGTAGTAGTAGTAGTACTACACAGTATAGGAGATTGTATACTAGTAGGCAGCCTACCAGGCGAAAGAATGAAGCAACAACGCCCCGGGCAAACCGGGACTAATTCTACATGGTCCATGGTCTGTGCAGGGCTTGCCTGATCAAGACTAGGGGACATGCATGGGCAAAGCATGGACAATGAGCCAATTTATGATTGGAGACCGCTGCCCGAGAGTCCCCACTGCCAAGCCTTCGGACAGCAAACGTGGCAGCAAAGCAGCCAATCATCAAGCGCCATGGCTGTCCTTCGGGAATTCTCGAAGCGGACGAACTGGGCTGTCATTGGCCCCGGCGTCATTGCCTCACTTTATTGAGTTCGGTTGCACTTCTGCCCGCTAAACTACTAGTGAGCATGGATTGGCATTAACACATCCATCTTGCTTTGCTTTGCTTGCTTGCTTGCTGGTCAGTAAGTATGGTTTGGAGGGGGGTCGGGTTGATTCAGAAGGCGGCTGCTGAACTTTACACTTTAGTTTTGGCAATAGTTCGCTCATGTGTTGGATAAGGTCCTCGCTGCCAGCCAACGGGGTTGGTTGGCGATGCTTCAAAAAGACGGTGAGATCTAAACCAGACTGTTTTCTTTTTGGGTGGAAAGAGTGGTTGGTGGCCGGAGAAAAAAACAGAAGACAGACCTGGCAACTGTTGCACCGTTGTCTGGCAAGGCGATGAGTAGTAAGTAGACAGACAGGCACTAAGAACACAGTAGACTAAGTAATCTGCTATGGAGTCAGTCAGGCTGCCCGTCATTCAAACACGCAGCGGGAAGTTGGATGTGCCCCATCCAGCCATCTCCGTTTGGCTCGACCGTTTCGTATAGACATCCATTTCGTTTCGCCCTGCAATCCAATCCTCCCTTCGCTGCCCCCCTCGTTAGTCATCCTGTTGTACCCGCTTGGTCCATAAGCCTAGAACTCCATGGTCAGATTAACACAATCGTGCCCTTTGCTCCAAACTTTGTCCTAGCATCACTCATCTCGAGTAACCAACTGTAGGAGAGGAGGTATGGGTGCTGGGTGGAGTCATGAGCTGGCAGTACAGTTACAGACTATACAGCCAACCCATCTATCCAGAGACTGCGTTTACCGTCCGAACGTCCGGTGAGATTGCAAGAACCACCGTTGCTCGGGGAGGTGTTTTCACGTTTCACTACACTTGACGATCCAGCGCGTACCGTTGTAGAGCACGACGGAAGTCTAGTTACGGAGTAAATAGATAGCTAACCGTCGACATGGAGATGGAGATTGGGAGATGGAGAGATGGATCGTGCCCTGTCAAGGAAATCATAATAATAACCGCCATGGGAGTTTCACTATTTTTCTCATCTTCCCGCCCTGCATCTCTTGAGAGTTTAGAACTTCAGACACGGACAGTATAGTAAGTGTGGGGCAGGAACAATCCTCTCCTTCCCCATCCCATGTTCTCTCCCCCCCCATCCGGGTCCTTTTCAGCCAGTCATCCATCATGCCAGCCTCATTCCTACCACACAGCCGCCCAGGCAATGGCAACGACGGGGCATCCGGGCGCCGATACAATCGACCAACGGACCCAGTGGGATACCAAGTAATAGTGTGGCCATGAGCTCATTTGTGCGTTCCCCCCCTTTCCACCACCTCTCCCAAAGAAGGCTGGAACCTTACACTTAGTAGTTACTTAGTAGTTAGTACAAGTGTACTGGTAAAAACTTGCCGCCCACCTTCCCATCCTTCCAGCAGTTCCATCCCAGTTCATCTGACTGAACTCATTCTTCGATCCAATCACACCCACGGGGAGGCGGATTTATCTTCCCTGGGCGTTTCCGCATTCAGCCAATGACGAAGATGTGCTCGGGCCAGCCTGGAAGCATTGGCAAAGTGTGAGTGGAGCCATCTGCACCTGAATGACCTGTCACAACTCGCCCTCCCTCCCTCACACCGCCTCCTGGACAAACAATCCTGGCCTTGACTGTGTGTTGAAGGCAGCAAATCATCGCCCTTCAGTTGCGGTCTGTCTAGCGTTGCCTTCTCAGGTTTCCATTCTTTCTGATCGTCGATCTTTGGGAAGATTTTCTCTTTTTTTGCTCTTTTTTGCTTTTTGCCTGGTCGGACCGGACACTAAACCCGTACAGCCACGACGGCGGCGGCATTGGCCGTCTGTCCATCGGGTCTGCGCGGAGGTCTTCCCATTCATGGATTGAACTCTCACTCCCATGGAAGGATGGGGGACTTGGATTATTGTTTCTTATTATTATGGATCGTAGACTGTAGGGATGGGACTTCAGGCCACAACTACTACTATACTTACTCTTGTATACTGTAGGTCCAGGCATCCCAAGCTTAGTTCCTACTGAGCCTTGTGACCCTCTTAACTGACTAAACTGAAAGGAGGTGTGCGGTGCTGCCAGAGTTTCGTTTCCCTCCACGCACTCGTGCCCATTTGGCCCTCCCTTTCAACAACCCCCCTCCATAGCAAAGTAAGTAGTCAACAGATCCACCGACTAGTAAGGGGAGGTGTCTTTTTTTCTCTCGCCTTGCCAGATCGTGGACACTCCCCATCACCCCTAGTCTGTCACCTCAGTGTGTGGAGAGAACCAGAATTCAGCATCGCGTGGTATCTTAGGCAGGTTAGTCAGGACCCAGTGGATATTGATGATGTCGATTCATGGATCCTCCCAGACTCCTCAGCTTACGCGGGTGCGTGTTAGTTGGTTATTCTTGGTTTTCTCGCCGCCTGGATCTTGCTGAGGGACGCGGTCGCGGCCTTGTCGGTCAGTAGTGGGGAGGAGGAAGTTTGGTTTGGTTCCGTCTTGCCCATCCAGACACCACACACTCTCTCACACACGCGCCTTTCCTATTTGTAGCTGGACCCTAAACTAGTCTAAGCATCATACATGTTAGCTTGGGTGGGCGGGTGGAGTCGCCACTCCACCCAGCTGGACAGGCCCCGGCCAATCGTGTGGCGATGTTTGGTCTGGTCTGCAGGCTGAAGATGTAACGGGGGAAGTTACATAGTAGTTTTAGGGGGGAATGGATGGATGGATGGATGGATGGGAGGGAGTCACCTGGTTGTTCTGAATGGTCGGCCAGTTTTCCAGGTGATGATTCGTGGGATGCAGCCTCTGAGGTAAGAGACTACCAATTCAGTTCAGTTCTCTCAAGATGGAGGAGGGAAGAGTGGCTCTGGCCACGAGTGGCCCCAGGCTTAGCGGCAGTTGGGGGGATTATTATTCGTGTTATGGGATGGGTAGTGGTGGTGGTGGTGATGATGATGTTGATGATTAGGTGTTACTATTATGAGATTTATTAGGAAGGAGAATTATTTTATTTTATCGATTTAATTATTAGGTGTTATTATTTTTCTAATTTTCTGTTTTGGTTTTCTGTTAAGGGAATTAATAAATAGAATATTATTATTTTACTCTTCGACTGATTTTAATTTCTGCTGGTGGTGTTGTTTTTTCATTCTGGGTCCCTGGGGATTTTCTGGGTCCCTATTTTTCGCCATTTCCTGCTGGAGGATCTGGCTGGCTCCCTCATTCTGACTGACTGACTCTCTCTCAAGTCTCGTCTCTGTCTCTTCTTATCGGCGCCCCGTCCATCATCGCCATATTAATCTTATTTTTACTTATTTACTTATTTTTACCTGGCCCTTCCGCGCTCCGTCTTATTCCCTATACTTCTTCTTTCCTCTCTGTCTCTTCCCTTTTCCGTCCCTGGACGCCGTCCTTTTCTCTCTGGCGTGTTTGATCGTTTTTCCTCTTTCCGACGAGTCCCCGTCAAGTCATTGATCTTCGTCTTGCATTGTTGCTTTTCTTCTTTCTCCGGCTTCTCTTCTTCTTCGTCCTCATCGTGATATAGTTTGGGGGACTTGTTTTGCATATATATCATTTGCCCCCCCTTATCCTTCACTGCACGTCCCCCTTTTATACCCTCCACCTCCCCCTTCCCTTCCCTTCCCATTTCCCCACGGCCATATTAACTATCCGCTGGCCCCCATCTGACTGCTTGCCCTGGAACTGCATCCATCCCTGGCTGTGCAACTTCCCTGGACTCTTGCCCCCCTCCCCCCAACTAGCCAAAAATAATACCACCACCAACTGCCACTGCCACTTCCGCTACTCCTCATCTTCAACCACCACAACCACCACCACCACTACCACCATCTTACCCACGGCCTTCCGTTGGACATTCCCTAGGATTTGATTGCTTATCCAAGTTGATCAACTGCATTCCTTCAATGGCTCCTTGAACAAGTGAAAGAAAAAAAAAACATATTAAGGAAAGACTGGCGACTCTCCTTTGGTGCTCTCTCTCTCTCTCTCCCGGCTATCCCGTACTTTGCTCACTGGTTTGGATGACTACCTGAAACCCGCCACCGGATTTTGGACCCCCAGGATTTATATCAACAAACCAACCCCTTACAGCCGTTGAGACAAGAAACTACCATTTACCTCCCCCTCCTTTCCTCTTCCCCCCTTCCTTCTTACTACTATACTCTTATTCAGGAAAAAGACTCAAGTGCCGGTGCGTGCTTTGAGTCTTATTTGCCTGCCATCAACCACCAAAGCAAGAAAAAAAAGCCCATCCAAAACCCTACCTACCTTCCCTCATGCTCATGCTACCCCCTTCTCCCCTTTACGGCATGTATCCCCCCATGCCCCCCACTCCGCCTCCATCTCCGCCCATCTCCCGTTGCTATGCTCCGGAAGACCGTCTAGGATTTCTCTTGGCCAACCGCCTGGAACTCACCAGCATCCTGGGCGTCGGTGCCTATGGAGTGGTGTACACGGCCGTCGACATTCATACCAATGTTCTGTATGCTGTCAAGGCCCTCAACAAGACCGGGCTGGATCCCCGGCAGCTCAAGTTCCAGCAGCGGGAAATCAAGCTCCACCATCTGGCCAGCCAACATCCCAATGTGGTTTCCCTGGTTCGCATTATGGATTCCGTCGATTGCACCTACGTGGTGATTGAGTTCTGTCCCGAGGGCGATCTCTTCTCCAGCATTACGGAAAAGGGCAATTTCGTGGGCAATGACCCCTTGGTCAAGCGTGTCTTCCTTCAAATCCTGGATGCCGTCCAGTTCTGCCACTCCCTGGGAATCTACCATCGGGACCTCAAGCCGGAAAACATCTTGGTAACGGACCAGGGCTTGACGGTCAAGCTTGCTGACTTTGGCCTGGCTACTACCGACTACCTTACGTCGGATTTTGGTTGCGGATCCACTTTCTACATGTCACCAGGTGCGTGAATTCCTTTTCCTCCCCCCACCCGAAACATTCCGATGAAACATTCACTGACGAAGATGATACCAAAGAATGCCAGCAACCAAATCCCCGTCCCATGTCGTGCTATGAGTCGGCACCCAATGATGTGTGGAGTCTAGGTGTTATCCTCGTCAACTTGACCTGCGGTCGCAACCCCTGGAAACGTGCCTCGATCGAGGATTCCACGTTCCGAGCTTATCTCAAGGATCCTTACTTCCTGAAATCCATCCTGCCGCTGTCGGATGAGATGATCTGTATCCTGAACCGCATCTTTGAGTGCGACCCCTCCAAGAGAATTACCATCCCGGAGCTTCGCCAGTTGATCCTGGAGTGCCCGCGGTTTACCATGAACCCCATTGCCCCCTGGTCTGCCACTGGACCGGTGCCCGTTGATTTCGTCAACGGACCGGTTCCGGTGTCCGTAACCGTGGACACCTTCAACACCCAAACCTCCTCAGTCTCCTCTGGGTCATCGCAGTACTCCGACTTCTCGGAGTCTGCCGTCTCGGATGCTTCCTCCTTCACGGAAGGCTACCCCGACCTTGACAGTGTCTCGTCGATGTCTTCCGTGGGACTGGAGCCGGGACTGGAATGCAAAGATGACTTTATGGACCCCGTCCCTTGCGGTGGTTTCCCGGAGCCGCATCTTGCCCATGCCCCTTTTACCATTTTAATTCCCGTTTGCTAAAACTGGACTTCACACTGTCCACCCACCCTACAAGGGAAAGCAACATAAACAAAACAAAAACAAAAAAAATAAAAAGGCCCCACTTAACGCAGGTTTACGATTTACGGCAATTCTTTCGATATTACATCCCACTGGATTTGGATCTTTACTACTACTACACCTATTCTTGGATCATCTCCGCCTTGCATTATTCCAGCGACATTGTATTATTTCCGCAGGAGGAAATCCGAGGAGATCGATTATTCTTCTGGACATACGCCTTTTCTATTTCCCACTCTTTACACCGTTGGCTTCCATTCCTTGGAGTTTGGATATTATACCCGGATTGACATCCATTGGAGCTCAGCCGTCGGGCATAAATTGCCCTTTTGAGAAACGGAGTTCTGTCAGCTCGCCCTGCGAGTCCGTTGGAAGGCAGAAACCGTGGCTTTGTTATTATTAATTTGTCACCACATTGGGAGGATCTCTTGCGTTTCTGGTGAATATACTTGTGTTTGGTGTTACTGGGTGGTGTTGCTGGCGTTTTCACTCACCATCGGCCATTGGCATGGAAAGAAGAAAAGAAAAATACCCCCGGAGCAGAGACGAAGCATTTGCATTTTGATTGTCGATTTATCGCTAGGAGTTGGATGGCACACTTGGTCGCTCTTTTGGGATGATACCTTGAGTCATTGGGACTATTCTTCTTCTACTTCGTTTTTCTACTACTCTACTACTATTACTTCATTTTACATAATCTGTCGATAAATAGTTTTGATTTCGGACTGGATCTCCTGCTGGAAACTATCAGGGAGGAAGCCGTCAGATTGATCTTCAGTCTGGCTGGCTGTGGTGAAGAGGCTGGAGTGTGTGTGTGTTTTCGGTGCAACCGCGTGAACCAGGGTGGAACAGCCTTGGATACGATATCTGCAATAGACGAGGACTAGACGATGCTTTTTTCTCTCTCTACCTTCCTGCTGGTACACTGACTTTGGGCCTGATGACACGCTCTTCCAGTAAGACCCACGACGTGAAGCTGTGGTCCACTGGCGAGTCGCCGTCTGTTCCCTGCTATGCTGTAGCAGTCTAGCACGTCCAGTCAATGCTGCTGATGCAACCGTCAGCCGGCGCCTACTGCGAGAAAAAAAAAATTTATGACACTGGAGTCTGGTCTGGACTTCCCTTCTACCCCTGAGGAGAGGGGCCAGCTGTCCGACGGGGAGGCAGCCACCAGGCGGGTGAGCAGGCCTGCCTCGACCAGTCATTATCTTATAACCCTCTACTACTATTGAGTGTGACCTGGCTGGCCTGGTCAGATTGGGGCAGCCTTCGCAGGCAGCCTTAACTTTTGGACCACTTATGATTGACGATGAAGCGAAACAAAACAATTGGCTTTGTACTATATGATACCATGTATGATAGATACCTACTACCTACCTACCAACCAAACCAGAACCAAGAATGCGACTTCTGATATCGCATTACACCACCCACATCCTTCCTATACTTCACTCATAGATCAATACCTAGCTACATAAATGATAGACCAATAAATTAATGGAATAGATTTACATATTCCTCCCCCCGGTAACCCTAATCGTCTCCCCACTCACATACGAAAACAACGGACTGGCCACTCCCAACACCGCCCTCGCCGCCTCCTCCGGACTAGCCGGCCGTCCCAGTGGAATATCAGGATACTCAGGACCCTTCTTCTTCTGCTCAGTAGATGCTCCACCTCCAGTGCGTCTACTATCCAACTGCTTCCCCGGAATCCCCAGCGCGACCTTCGTCCCATCCGCCATGGCAATAAACGCCCCGTCCTCCTTGGCCGCAGTCAACCGGGTATTCACGAATCCAAACGCGATGGTATTCGCCCTCACACCAAACGCAGGACCCCATTCTTTCGCAATGGTTTTGGTTAGTCCGGTTATACCTGCTTTCGCGACGGCGTAGTTGGCTTGACCTCTAGTTACCCCCATTAGTAAACTAGATTGCCTGTAGCGGGAGTAATAGATAATAGAAGAAAGATGGGGGAAGGGGATAGATAACGTACGCATTCCCATGCACCCCACTGGTACTACTAATATTAATCACAACGCGGGGTTCGCCGTCCTTCACGCGGAAGTATTTTGCTGCCGCGCGGATGAGTTTAAATGGGGCTGTCGCGTGGATGGCCAGCATGGTGTTGAATTGGGTATCTGTCATCTATAACATAGTACCCACATTTGTTAGTATATCATTCCAATTATCTGGTATAGATATTAGTTGATTATTGTGGGAGGGGGTAAGTATACCTTATGTATAACCCCATCCCAAGTAAACCCTGCATTATTGACAACGATATGGATTTTCCCACCACCGAAGTCCGCAGCCTTGGTGACGAGTTCTTCGATGTATGCGTCGTTGAGAATGTCGCCGGGGACTGCGAGTGCCCGGGGGGTAGTACTGTTGTGGGTTGCGTTGATGGAGGTTGCGACGGCGGTGGCTTTTTCTGTTTATTCCCATAGTATATCATATATAGTTTAGCATGACTATCTCTTTCTCTCGAAGGAATTGGGTTCCGTATGATTGAAAGGTGTGGGGGGAATACCTCCGTCTATATCAGCTATAATCACCTTTGCTCCCTCGTTGGCGAACAAGCGGGCGGTTTCGGCGCCGATGCCTTGGCCTGCGCCGGTGATGATGGCGACTTGGTTGGCGAGCAGGCCGTGGGGGTAGTTCAGGTGGGAGGTTATTTGCGAAAGACGGTCCATCTTTTTTCTTTCTTCTTTTTTCTTCTTTGCTTCTTCTGGGGTTGTGTTGTGTGTGTGAGTGTGGTTGTTGTGTAGTGGAAAGTAGGTAGTTGGAGGTGTGGTGGGGATGATATAAGAGAGGAGGCTCTACAATGCGGAGATGGATATGCCGAGGCTCGTTGGTCTGCCGAATGCCGCTCGGTTCCTGGACTAGTAGGGAATATTGTTACATACTACATAACGATGTATAAAGTAGGTGAAGATATTAATCAATTTGAATCTACGTGCACAGATTATCCGACATCGCTCGTAAAATCGTATCCACCATCGTATCATAACCCCCCAGCATCTGCTGGAACCATTCCACCTCCAATCCGTCCGTCCCATTGAGCTCCCGGAGCTCGGGACTCAGATGTCGGCTCATCTCAACTGCGTCCTTGAGCAGTCCCAGTACCTCTCGGCACTGCATGGCCCGTCCTCGGATGAGGTACCGGCGGATCCGGCGCGTCTCGTCCGGGCCCATCTCGTAGTCGCCGTAGGGGACGATCATGTTGTGGCCGCCAGCCGGCGCGGATGAGAGCTCATACGATGTCCAATACTCGAAGAGCTGGAGTGTGATATCCAGTATGGATACTGAATACAGTAGGTTTGTGTGGTCCTTGTGGCAATTGGGACATCGGAGAAAGTTCCGACACACGGTCAATGCGATCTTGATGCCCTGTAAAATCTGGTCCAGCCGTAGATGCATGCTGTCTGCCAGCATGGTCCGGATCTGATTTACGTTGTATAGGAGTGCATTGGTGCATTCACAGGGCTGTAATGGGTTGGGGATGTGGACGGCGAGCGGGCAGCCGGTGAAGCCCCGGGAGATGAACTCTTTTGGAAGGAATGGTGGTGACATGGAGGGATTGAACATAGGGGCCAACGTCTCCCCTATTGACGGATACTCCATGGTTGGATCGGTCAGCAGCGTCGTGTCAGTCATATTCGCCCCGTGGCTATCAGGGCTTCTGGACTGACTGGCTGGGCTCGTGCTTTGCGTACTCTATAACCATTAGATATTACCCTTAACGAGCACAGATGAAACGCACCGTTGCGTCGACCCCGTTGTCAGTATCATAGCTGACACGAGGCGGTTGTCCTTTGGCTACCGATTCTACCCATCCGTTGGCAGGTATTGTAGGCTTCTTCTCGTCTTGCAACTGCCCAAGTTTTCGCAGCGTGGCCCGATTCTTGCTCCCTTTTGGCTTCCCAGAACGATTGGCGACGCGATACCGACAGGGCAGCCCATGACGCATACAGCGAATGCAGGTGTCCTTCCCAGATAGGTTACATTTCACCTTCGACTGTCTGCAATTTTCACAAGCAGCCCGGAGCTTCGGTGGATCTCCGTTGCTGACGGGGTTTTCGGTTTCGGCCAGCATTTATATTGTTCAGACACAGAATGTAATGTAGAGTCGTCTTCTAAGATCAAAGGAACAACGCGGTGAAGTCGGGCAAACGGGGGCGAAACCACCGGGAATATCTAGGAGAAAGTGGGAAAATCGAACAACCTTTTCATCAGGACATCGACCAGCGCAATCTTATATATACCAGCCCGCCCTGGCATGCAGGGCTCGTATCGGGATTCATGAACCGACGGCAAGCGCAGATGAAGTCAGCCGTTGTGAAACCCTAAGATTTCATCTGATCCACCTCGCATGGGAGCCGTGTCCAGTCCTCCAACTGGCAGATTCTTCAGCAATAGTCCAACTGACCTCCATCTTACTTGTCAGAAATGGTAAATGCCAGATTGCTTGGCTACTGGCCCAACTGCCTCTGATAGGGGCTGCCTACCTCAGCCAGTGCCGCGAGGGACGGTCCTCCAACGTAAGAAGCCTGGAAGAATAAGCTCAGGTGCAACATCGTCGTCAAGTTCAGTGGGGGCCGCTAGGCCGAATAACTCTAATGTGCTCGAAGGAGCCACGACGATGCAAGACTATTGTGTCTGACGTAGCATCCAATGAGGAACCGCAGCATGCCGTCTAGGGTGATTCTATCGGTATGCAGGCCAGCACAC